ACGCATGTGGGTCCGGGAGCCTGGACCGCGTGCGAGGGCTCCCGCACAGCCGGGAAGGGGCGGGGGGCGGGGTGGGGGGGAGCAGCAGCGTGATTCACTGCTCCGGAGCGATGCTGAGCAAAGTCACAGACTTGGAGAGAAAACGAGAGCTTGGAGCAGCCCCAGCGCATCTCCAGGCAACGGACCCCCAGGCTGCACGCAGCAACGCGCTTTGCCGAGCGGCACGGCAGGTGCTGCGATCGCAGAAGGGGCGGTGTGAGCCTGCGCCCCAACGGAGCCCCGCACTGCAAATCCACTGAGCTGAGAAACCGGAGCCAAGGAGGGCTGGGAGCCGATGGGCGAGCTGCAGGTGCTGCTGCCTCCAAACCTTTGGGACTCAGCCGAGGCCAAAGCAGCAGCTGCGACGCACCCGGCTCCTCTGCTCCGTGGGAGCAGCAGCTCCTCCACGGGGACGGTGAACCACGGCCAAACCAGTCCAACGCCGCACCCACTGCGCCTGCCCTCCCTCCCCAGAGGTGGAAATGAGGAAAGGAGAAAGGTTCCAGCGTTACGAAATGTGTCTAATTGCCTGAAGCACTCAGCCGAGCTCTTTGCACACGATGGGGAATCTTAGGAAATCCCTTTTCTTATTTCCACAATTCAAAGTAGCCAAGGAAAAGAGCTGGACATGCTGTGCTGGGAGCAGATCGAGCGGTGCTGGACCCCGGCCACCCCCTGCCTGCTGCTTTGCCACCCCAGGCCCTCCTTTGAGCAGTGGGGCTCAGCTCAGCACCCACAGCTCTGCACTTTGGGGCGGGTCATTCACCCAGGCTGCAGCACCAGGCGACGGCAGCTGCGCTGTGCCATGCGTACTGCGCCGTGCCAGCACAGCTGCCCACCAGCAGAGCGCTGTGGGGCCGTTGGGGCTGCAGCCCCTCCAGCAGGAATCCCAGGCATCCTGGCCGGGCGCGGAGGCTTTTTGTTCCACTCCTAGGAACGCTCTCGATGTGGAGCTGACGGCTTCACAGCCAGAAATTCTTTTCCCATTTCCTCACTAAGTCACGTGCCGACAGCAAGCCAAGTCTTCCCCAACACATCTCCCCCATCGCTAAAGCGGTTTGAGAAACGTTCAGCAAGCACTGAAGCCCACGAGAAACCTGCCCTGCCTCGCCTGAGAGCTGAGCTGGAGCTCCTGCAAGTTCCGTGAGCCGGCAAGAAGCCACCGAGGGCCACCATTGCCACCAGCGATGGGGACAGCCGTGGGGCCACCAAGAGCCAGCACTGCCCCCAGTGGGCAGGGACAGTGGGGGGGACAAGTCATGGGGCCAAGGGATGCTGAGGGCTTCGCTGTCGCCTCGGTTGGTGTGATGGGAGGACAGGGCAGGACAGGATTTCCAGTATGAATTTCTGCTCTTTTGCTGTCTGCACGGCTCTGGTATGTGGAGCTCTGCCAGCTGTGATCTCTGTTACTGAAATAACGGCTGATAGAGCTTCCAGATTTGCAGCCCCGCAGCCCCAGCTGGTAGCACAGCTAGTGGGATGGGCAGAGGCTGAGCGGTCGCCAGGATGTGGCTTTGGCTCCATCGGTGTCCCTCTCCTTGAGCCTCATTGAGCCAAATGTAACCTCAGTCCCGCAGGTGCTGCCCACCACGAGGGACAGGTCACCCCAGAGCCGCCCCGAGGTTCCCCCCATGCCACATCTTCAGGATGAAGATCTTCCAACTCCCCTCTCAGAGGATCTTCCAGACTTGTAAGGCTGCAGGAGGAGCATCCCGAGCCACAGGTTTCCAGCCTTCCTCATATGGACGCCGTCTCCGGAGCGCAGGGTCCGCGTGCCGCCCCGTCACGGGGTGATGTCACCCTGTTTACGACTGCGCTACATCCTGCTGCGGCCCCTGCTTACATGGGAAAGCGGGCTTTGGAAACCAATGTATTTTTAGCTTTCTTATAATGCATCTCAGCAGCTGGAAATGAGGGAGCTGCCTTGTGTAATGATCACGAGAGCACAGAGACAGCACGAAGTGTCTGATGGACACATCGCTGTGAGCGCACCGAGCGTCTTCTTCATCCTCGGGGCTCCTCATCCTCACCTGCTGTGGGTTTGGCCTCTACAATGATGGTGCAAAGTGCCTCCAGAGCTAAACACACAAGCAGCTATTTGGGTTTCACTGGGATTTGTGCCAGGGAGGTGGCAAGTCATGCTGTACGGCTTTTGCTGCATTTGTCCTAAGTTCAGAGGGATTTCTTTATCTCCCTTTCAGTGCCGTTGCTCTCCTCCTCCTAAACTCTCTCCTTTAGCCGTATCTCTGGATTTGGTGTTTCTGTGCACTGTAAGGTGTGCGGTGCTGCGTGGGCAGCCTGGAGCTCACTGTGTGCTCCATGATAATCCCATCTGCCTGGCTCAACGCTGCCTTCAAACTGATTTTGGGTCTCGGCCCCCATACATTCATCCACTGCTGCCTTTGCACAGAGCTTTTAGCACTGCCCTACAACCTGGCATCCAGTGGTGCCCAGCCTTGGAGGGGCCCAAGGTGGGAGGCAGAGCCTGCGCCTCACCTGGGATCCAAATCCCCACCCCTACAGCTGGACCCCCGTGTGGCCCTGCGGCCGTCCTGTCCTACGTGGGGTGGGGGTCAGCAGGGAGGGCTGAGTGATGGGGCGGTGAATGGAGGGCTCTGTCAGAAGTGAGGTAAGCGTGTTATCATGCCGAGAATCCTCTGGATGGGAGACATTTTAAATCACTCCTCCAGCAGAAGAATTGGCAATTGTTCCGTGAGCGGCGCTGAGTAATGCAGCCTGAGCTGCTCCCCACGCAGCCTCCATTCTGCTCAGCCACCCCCAGCCCCACGCCGGACAGTCGGTGCTGGGCAGGCCTGGCCATAGGGCTCGCTCCACTGCAGCCCCTGGGGCCAAGTCCCACCCTCGCTCCTCCTCCTCCTCCTCCTCCTCCTCCTCGTGTGCTGGGCCCCAGCGCAGTATTTTTAGCATCCCCTGGAAACACCACCACCAGCTGATGAACCTCCTCTGCAGGAGGACATTCCTATGAACATCTCCCCTGGCAGAGTTACCAAGGCATGAGCGTGTGGGTGGGTTCAGAATAGCAACCCAAGCTGACCCCCAAAAGGCTCTGTCAGATCTCAGCAGAGCAGCGTTGTGAGTTGAGAACACAACCTTGGTACAGGTCGGTCTCAGCAGCTCTCAGCTTCTGCTCGGGTTCGCTTTGGCCGAACAGAGTAACCAAACTGTGCCAAATGCCACCGAGGTGCTGTGGGCTGGGACCTGGGCAGCTCCATTGCTGACAGCCCCATTGGTGACAGCACTGTGACCACAACCCTGCGCACAGAGCGGGTGGGGACAGCTGCTGAGCCCACTCCCACCCTTATCATTGCCTTTCCAACAATGAGATGGTGCCTTTAAGGCAGCTCAGCAGCTGTCAGAGAGGAGGCATTTCTGCGTGTGTTGCTGATGCTCAAAATAATGCCCAGAGATACTTTAAGTAGGTTTGGAAGGCGTTCAACGAGGAGGCACCGCCACGCGCCCCACTCCTGCCCCGACCCACCCAGCTGCCCGGAGCCACTGAGCATTCCTATGGGGGCACAGAAGGGTGAAAAATACCACTGGGGCTGCGAGGTATGGGACCATGGGACCCCTCCCCAGGAGGATCCCACACAGGACCACAGTTTCCCCTGGGAGGACCCCACCGCCGCTCTGGGGCTCACCAGGAGCAGCAGCCGCTCCCCAGTCAGGGCTAATTAGGGTTAAACGGGGAGAACCTGGAGCAGAATTAGAGCAGCATCTGAATGGGGAGATGACAACGCTGCTCATGGCCCGGCTCACGGCATCGCTGCTGCATCTGAGCATGGAGGGGTGCTGCAGGGCTCCACGGGCCCTGGGCAACCCGGCCCACTCTACTAAAGTGGAGTGTGCCATAAGTTACTGCTGCCCAGGGATTCTCCCTCCCTCCATCCTTAAGCACAAAAGCTTTGTTGGCATGGAACAGCCTTGCCTAAGCGCAGCGCGTTGAGCAATGCGGGGCTCCCATCACCTCCCAGTGCTGCTGCCATTCCTCCCCCATCCCACCCGTGCACTGAGGGCCCGGCGGGGTGAGAGCCAGGGCTGTCTGCAGGCAGGAGAAGGAAAATACATGGGGAGCTGCGAGCGTCAGCTGCTCTACACATCAGCTGCTGCAGCCCCAGCCAGCCCTCAATAGATCTCCTTTGATTAAAACATGGACACAATGAGTCCAGAAGTGCCCACCTTTGTCAGGGCTGCTTTGGCGAGGTGCTGGGAGCCCTGGGGCCACACCTAATTTGCATCTCATTTACACAGTTGTTCATTAAAATTGATGCCCTAGGACACGCTATCTGCTCACACCCCACACAGCCACCCCAACCCCTCGGGTCGCAGCCTCCCTTGGAGGGAGCCCCATGAGGAGGCTTTGCAAAGATCTGCTCTGCACCACGCACATTCCTCGCTCTCTGGATGAACCGTGCATGAGAGGAATGCTGCTTTGAACAGCGATTGCTCCATCACCGCTTCTCCCCCACTTCATCCTCAGGCAGGAAGGAGCAAAACTCACTGCTGCAGCTTTCATTTTCCCCACTGAGCTTTCCTCAAACAAAGACCCCAAAGTGCAATGAGTGCCTCCAAACGAGGTTGCAGCACAGGGTAAAGGGTCATCCCCAGGGCCATTGCTCCACCAGCCACGCAGGCTGGAAGCTCCTCCCTGGCTACACTTGGTGCAAGCAACTGCACGGTGTTCAGAGATGAAATTAAATCCCTTCCAAACAATACAACTTTAATGCCGCCCAACATGAAAGATAACAGCAACATATGGGAGCTCAAGTCTGTAACACTTCAGAGTTTTTTCGGATGGGCAGCCCCCAAAACAGAAACACCTCAACCTAACGCAGGACTCACAGGGCGATGGAATGGGACCAATTAGCCATGAGATGAAAAGTCAGTGGCTGTAGAAATGCCTCCCTGCCCCGCTCCCTGCTATTGCCAGGAAACAAGCAGCCAGATGTAAGTCAGCCCATCATCAGCACATCAGCAATACGAGTTTCACAGCAAGAAAACTCTAGGAAGGTTAATGTAATGAACGTAGAATAACAGCATGACCCAACACCACAATGCTGTTTAAAAAATTACAGTACTCAAACACACTCCAACTCTTTTGTAAGTATTTTATGCAAGCCTCAGTGGTCCCTAGCAGCTCTTAGCTGGAAACACAAAAACCACCTAACAAAGTGAACTTTGCCTTGGTGTCTCTCCCCGTGTGTCTTCCACCCGCCACAGTTTATCTGTGGCTTTATTTGCACCCAAGGCAAGAAGAAATGGATGCACGTGTGTTCCCAGAAGTGAACAACATGTGGGAACGGTGCACCAGGTAGAAAGACCTGCTCAGGTTATGCCAACATCCCAACACATTCCTTCCTCCCCCAAACCTACAATCAACCACCTCCAAAGGCCCAGGAGGCACTGGCCCACCATTACACACTGCAAGGAGAGGTGGGAAAAGACCTTTTTCCTCCCAGTCCCAAAATCTTACTGCATCTTTTCAGCGCAGACTATCAAGGCCAGCAGTTGGTTTTGTATCCTCCAAAGCAACAGCATTTTACTGCATCCAAAATGCCAACATAGCAAAAAAAAACCAACGGAGCCACAACAGCTCGGTTCCCTGCTCCTTCCCAGCAGACATCGGTCCTATCCAAAAGACCACAGCACCAAAGGACAGCCCTCAAACACAAAGAGCCACGTAAGAAATGCTGCAGCACAAGGACCTACCTTGAAGTCGGCCAGCTGCTGGTTGATGGTCTCAACCTCGGTGCCCACCACCCCCTGCAGAGCCTCGCTCTCCTCCGCCGCCGCCGCCATGTGGCTCAGCTCCTTCAATCTGCTGTAGAAGTCCTCGACGCGTGCCAGCGTGGTCTCCACCTGCTCCTGTCGGCTCCTGCCCCTCTCGGTCAGCTTGCTGCACTGCTTGCTCAGCGTCTCCAGTTCACGTTTCAGCCCCAGTAAATCGGGGCTCCCCTCATCCTCCAGCATCTGCTTGCATTCACTTTCAGAAGCCTCGATGTCGGCCTTCAGCCCCTGCAGCTTGCCCAGGAACGTGCGAACGTCCTCTGCCTGGGACTGCAGGCTGTCGGCGTCCCTCCCGGTGGGCCCCATTCCGTCCAGCTCATCGTCGAGGTCTGCCAGCTGCGAGAACATCTCCCTCACCCGCCCCGTGAACTGGCCGATCCCTTCCAGCTTGTTTTCCATCAGCACGCAGCAGTCATTCACTTTCTGCCTCATTGCTTTGAACTCTTCCTGAGCCACCTCCGCTTGGCCCAGGAGCTGGGAGCAGTCTGACCCATCGGGAGCGTCTTCCACCAGCCCTCGTGTGAAGTGCTTCAGGTAATCCACCTGCGGCTCCAGCGCCTGCAGCGCCTCCTGCTGCGCCCTCAGCTTCTCCAGGTTCTTGTTGCTGCAGGCTTGCGGCCCCAGAGCCTCGAAGATCTCCAGCTGGTGCTTGGCCCCTTCCAGCTTCTTCTCGATGTTCTTGAAGCTCTCCTGGAACTCCTTGAGCCTCTGCGCCATCTCGTCGATGGAGCCTGTCTTGGCTTGCAGCTCCTCCGTGATGGCGTCCATCTCCTGGTTGATGGCAGCCTTCTCGTCGCGGATGTCGTCCTCGTCGCTCTGCGAGGCGTCGATCAGGATGTCGGCGGCGCTGTTCAGCATCTCCAGCACCGAGCGCCGCTTCTCCACATCGCTCAGCAGAGCCCTGGAGCGCAGCAGCGTGGCCTCCAGCTGCACCGGGTCCAGCGTCACCTCCAGCTCCGACATCTTGGCCTTGCAGTCCTCTACCCAAGGCAGGAGGTCCTCCGTGTGCCTCTGGTACTTGTGGGCTTTCTGCAGGCAGTCCTTCAGCTTGGAGTGCCTGTCGGCAGCCTGCTTGCTCAGCTCTTCCCAGTGTGTTTTGAGGCTGACCAGCTGGTTTTGCAGAGCGGTCTTCTCCTCCCCAGGTTGGACAGAAAGCAGCAATGATTCCCCCTCAGCCACGATCATCTCATAGGAGCCACTGTGTTGGTTGAGACTCTTCTGGAACTCCTCTTGCTCCTGAATTTGGCTCTGGAGCCTCTCCAGTCTAGCAGAAATAGGTTGGCTCCGAGCTTGCTGGCACAGTTTGTCATCGAGCCAGGCCCTGAGTTCATCAAACATATGCTGGAACTGCTGGGAACTTGCAAGCGCGGTCTGCAGTCGGTTCATCCGGTCGGCTGCAATGGAAATAAGATTAGAACGCAACAATTAAGCTGGAATCAAATAAGCGAAGGGCAATTATTTAAAATCATCTCAGATGCACCAACTGTGTTTTGATTAACAGGAAGGAGTTTTCCATTGCATCACCAGCGTTGCTCACTGGTTCATGAATTTTTTAAGCAATCAGTAGGGATAACGCAGCAGTCTCTGCGGCCCTGACCAATTTCTAAGCACCATCTCTTACAACGCAGAAAGGGAAACCCAACCTGAGAGTGGCCATGAGGTTTCTCTGCCCCTGTTCTGAAGTTGAGGCACAGCTGTTTTGTTCCAGGTGCAGTGCATGCCACCAGTGGGATGAAGTGTCCAGGCTCAGGTATGCCTGGAGCGAGAAATCTCCCGTGCTTACAGCCACTTAAACACCCACAAAGCACCTCAGCAAAAACGATAAACAGTCCTTTCCCTGCTATTCTTAGCAGCCCAGTGATGGGTGAGCCCTCTGGCAACAAGCAAGGGGTGGAGCTCAATCTCTCAGCATCCCTTCTCACACCTCCATGCTGTCTCACCTGCCAGGTCTTCCAGTCCTTTGAGAGGAAGAGCCACCGTTTCAAGCCGTTTCCGCAGCTCATCTTTGAGGTACTGCTCCCCAATCAGAACAGACAGGTCGTCACAGAGCGTCTGAGCCTCTGCAATCTCCTCCTCCAGCTGCTCCAGGTCCGAGCGGATCTCGCTGGTCTCCTCCAGCTGCTGCTTCACGGCGTCGGGCTGCGTGCTGACTGCAGATTGGCTGCTCAGGCGCTGCCCGACCGCCTTCACCTTCTCGGAGAGGCCCTGGAGGAGCTCCTGGTACTGGGTGCTCTTCACTATGGCTTGGTCAATTTGGCTGGAGCGGGAGTTGAGGCGTTCTGTCAGCTCGGACCATTTCTGGTTGACCCCTTGGAGCTCCTCCCGCACTTGGTTGGTGGATGGGGAAACATCCCCGGGGCCAGTGAGGATGCTCTGAGCTGCCTGGTTGAGCTGCTCGTGCTGTTGTCTGCGAGATTCAAATTCCTTCAGCATAAACTGAAACAGAAATAACATAAAAATGTTTGCATGAAACTGACAGCTCCAAGTACACACAGCCAAAACAAACCAGACCTCCAAGGGCTTCACCCAGCCCACAGAGCCCCTAGGAGCAAAGCAAGATGCCCCTGGGATGGGACGGCAATTGGGCAATGCATTTACAGTGACCTCGCAACTCGAAAAGCTGAGAGTCCGTGACTGCAGTGATAGAGCACTTTGCTTTCTCTCTTATTTGTCCTACTGCTGCATAATGTAACATAAACCAGTCAGATGGGAATCTAATTATGCTAACCAGGGCCTTTCATTTCGTGACGCGGCCGGCTGCTTACTGACATGGCAGTATTTGGAAGCAGTCGGTAGGGGCTGGCAGCCCAGTGGTGGGCAGCATCAGCAAGTCCTGCAGAGCATCAGCACAGGTCTTGTTTAAAGCAATTTCACTCTCCAACAGGGGCCAAGTGATTCACTGATGAGTCAGTCCAGAGCAGGGAACCAAGCACTGCACCTGCCTCAACTTATCCACAGCAGTTTGCACTCAGCAGGGCTTGGTGGACTTAGGAGCAGAACCCTGACATCACCAACCCTGGAAGTGCTCCAGAACCATGGAGATGTGGCACTGAGGGACGCGGTCAGTGTCCCTCACTGTGGAGGTGGGACAGAGTTGCACTGGTACCTCAGATGTCTTCTCTAACCTGAATGATTCTGCATTCTACGAGTGGGCATGGCGGAGATGGGTCAATGGCTGGACATCGTGGTCACAGACATCTTTTCCAACTTCATGACCACATAATTCTATGAAGGAGTGCCATCTTCCACCCTGTGGACCACGAGCAGCACCTCTTTCTTCACCCCTAGCCCATGAGGTAGGACCAGCTCACCTGGACCTGCTGCTTCTGTGCGTTCAGCATGTTGGGGTCGATGGAGAGGGGTCCCAGCACACTCATCATCAGCTCCTTCTCCATCAGCCATGGCCGCAGCTGCGCCTCGGCCGCCTGGAAGCTGGCCAGCTGGTTGGCTGACTCCTCCAGCTTCTGCTGCCGCTCGGCCGTCGCCTGGCTGGCGCGTTCCCACCTGCAGTCTGCACAGAGCTGGTGTTGGCTGCGCTCCCCGGGGCTGAGTCGGTTCCGCACCCTCCCCGTGCTTCACCCAGGACAGAGTCCTCTGCTTACACCTAGCTCTAGCCACTCTCCGTCTAAGAAGCCACCACCCCTCCCTGATGGTCTCGAAGCTCACAGAATAAACCTCACAAGCAGCACGGCTGCGATGCAGGCACTGCTGCCTCCAGCTCGTGTGACCTTGGAGAGCCCCCTCACACCTCCGGCTCAGACACAGCTCCGATAAATGGGTGCTCCCATGTGTGTCAGCCCTCAAACACCACGTTCGTATCTCCTGGATGGAGAACTCCATAAACGTGTTCCTGCCATTTCAAAGCAGGGACTCTGGGCTTCTTTTTAAACACATTGCCTTGTTTAGTCAACATTCAATTACCTGCAGTACCCTCACTAACGACCGGAATTTCATATCTAGCAATGCAGCTTTTAATCAAAGTAATCAACTCATGCTGCTGACGCTTTTTTTTTTTTCTTTTTTAAAGAAGTAATTTAAGGAGACAAGTCTTTAAAATATACATCCATCATAGAGATTTTGTTAATCAGAACAGAGCTTGTCTCTGGAACACCTTGTGCACCAGACAGCTCGGAGATAAGTTCGCTATTTACTGAATTCTAATTAGAAGCAACTGCTCTGCTGTGACTTTGGAGTCGTCCTGCAGTCCGGAATCACTTCTAATGTGATGCCTCAGGACAGAAACCTCATGACAGAGCTGCAGGCACTTACTCAGGTCTTCCTGCATCTTCTTCCAGTTTGCTGCTTCTGGAGAATCTGGATATTTCTCCAGCAAGCCAGAAAGTGCTTCCTTTACCTTCTGGATCTTTCCAGAATTCTGTTCCAATTCAGCCAGAAATGCCTGGAAAAGGACCGTTGGAACTTTGTTAGAAACAGTGCAAAAGAACAGAGTCACTGAGGAGGAACGGAGCAGCAGCTACAAGCTGGAGAATAACAATTTCTGCTCTTTGCACTTTAATGGAATCGCTTCATTTTTCAGCAGCAGCAGCACAAGCCAGCTTGGCTCCCAGAGCACCATGGATGGGGAATGGCTTCCCACAAGGAGCTGGGAGGGCAACATCAAGCCCTGCAGAGCCAAATCAACAGCAAATAAACGCCCGGGAGCAGAGGGTGGGCTTCTGCCCCACCTCGAGGGGATGCCCCAGGGCAGATCCAGCACTTCCACCTGGCCGCAACAACAACAACAACACCTGGCCTGCTGGTGAGGACGCCTGACGCAGCTTCGCTCTGATGCGCTCACCTTGTTGTGCTCGGCCTGAGCCCGCATGGTCTCCGTCTTGGTGGGCGAAGAGGAGGCTTCCAGCTCCGACAGCGTCCGCTCCTTTGACTCCAACCACTGCAGCACAGCGCCCGCCTCCTCCTGCACTGCCTGCATCCTCTCCAGCATGGCCGAGAGCTGCTGCAGGCGCTCCCGCAGCGCCGTGCCGAGACCCTCGTACTGCCGGCTGACGTCCGACACGTCGCATTGGATCTCGGTCAGATCTATTGCCAAAAACAGCAGGTTGGGATGAGAAGTGCGGCCCCAGAGCACGGCGCCATCAGGCACAGACTCAGCTCCAGGCAGCCGGCTGAGCTGCACTGTCACTCACTGCCATCGCGTCACCCCAGCGCTCTCCCCCAGCATCACCAATGTGTGCTGACAGTTTGCAAACAAAGCAAACGTCCTCACGTCTGTGGGACTGATGCAAGCTGAGCCCCACCGCTGTAGTGTCACTGCTGAGACTCTGCGAAGCAACATGACACGAAATACCAAGCCATTTTTATGCACCTATTATCTCACTGAACTGGTGACCTAACAGCAGATATCGAGCAATAATTAAAATTGCTCTTCAGTCGGAAGGATTGGAAGGCATTATAAGCCCTCGAACCAATGGGTTTAACTGCAGGCCCTGCAACAATCTCCATCTATCAGCCCCGGCACCATCTGACGGCGTCGGGGCAATGCCTGTCCTTCAGCCTGACCCACATCCACACCGCCGGTGTCACCGAGCCCATCTGCAGGCTCATTTCACTTCCACAGGATGCTGGTGGTGTCACACTGGGGCTGATGTCTCACGGATGGAAATGCACAGACAAAGCGGATGGGGACGCGGCCAGCGGAGCGCTCTCACCTTTGCAAGTGTGGAATCCATTCACGCTGCCCAGAGGCCCTCCCACTGCGGGCAGCACAGAACCTGAGCGGAGGGGACGGGGACAGACAGGGGGACAAGACAGACATGTTAGGGCTGCGTGCAGCAAGCAGACAGGAACGCAGTGTGACAACACAGCCCTGTGGCACTGAGCACACTGATGGCACTTGGGATGTGGCTCTGCTGTGCGCCCCGCAAAGCTGCTGCCCTGAGTGTGATTTTGTGAGCTGAGGCTTTGCAATGCCTTCACCAGAGGGATTAGCTCCCCGGAAGAGATGAATTCCCTCTTATTCTCCTTTCCTTATGGAATAAAACTCTTTAAATCTTCCCTAGAGCTCTGCTAGGAGGCACCACACGTGTCCCGCTTTGGGAAGCGCTGCAGACATCACAGTTACACTTTGAATCAAAAGGGGATTCTTCAGAAACGCCAGCTGCTCCCTTTCTGCCCCTCGTGGGTAAGGGACTGCAGCTTCCAGCACCGCCCCAGCTTTGAAAAGGGGAAGGGGTCCCCTGTGCTGGTGGTGCCACGCAGGGGATGAGCCAGCTCCAAACCACAGCCCCATGAATCCCTGACACCTGACCTACATCCCTCCTCTTTTAGATATCTGACAGCGCTCTGAGAGAGAAGCTGAGCTTTGTCTGGTAATGCATGCCAGCTCCTGGTTCCACACACCCTGCAGGCTGTTCTTGGAAGTTCCCCATTGAACTGTTCAAGTTAACCCCAACAGATAAGCACAGACTGTACATTCCCATAAAGGCCCATCAGAGGGGAGAGTGCAGGGACTTCTCACGAGCTGGAAGTTTCCAAACAAACCAGGCATAATCTCATTGCTTCAGAGACTCAAAGCCAGAAAGGAGATCAGTAGATCATGCCTGAGCACTGCAGCCTCCCATTCCATGTGGATACGGAGCCCACACCTGTATATGAGGCCCAGACCTTCCAGTGCTGAGAACCAACACAGTGCTCACTATAGGGCAGCCCCGGGCACCAAGCTGCTGTGCCTCGTGCTGGTGGGCTCAGAGCACACAGCTGATGCACAAAAGCCTGACTGCTTGCTGGTCTGGACCACCTCTGAAGTCATCTCAAGTTTGGTAAAACGGGGAAGTAACCATTTCTGGCTCTGTGCAGGCTACCAGAAGCTGCTCGTGGAGCTCCTTGAAGGAAGGAGCCCCGCTCATGAGCAGGGCTGCCACTCACCCGCCTTGGTCTGACTGTCCGGGGCCGTGATCTCCACAATCAGGTTCTCCAGGAGGGTCCCCCTGTGGCTGAGTTCCTCCACCTGCGGGCCCTTCCCTGACCACTCCTCCAGCAGCTCCTGTGTGGGGGTAAAGGCTGCAGTTAGTGGCTGCTCCGACAGCGCTGTGTATCCATCCCACAGAGCCCTCGTGCCAACCCACAGGGATGCTGCAAGACTCCCAGTGTGGCCCTGGAATTGTTTGGGTCCCCAGGACATGTCCTGATTTAAAGCTGCCTTTGATGTTAGGAAGGAGAAGCACACAGCAACAAATCCTAAATCCCTGACAAAGCAGGGGAGGAGTAGGGAAGGGAAACGTGCTGTATGTGGGAGGATCACTGCTCTGCTCCTTCTGCACACGAGGGGATGTCCACACACAGGGGGTTGCAGTCCAGCAGGAAAGCATCACCCAGAGCACAAAGTGCCCCCAGGACACTGAGCCCTGAGATTTATTCCCCACTCCAGCATTTTCACAGCAGCTTCTCCAGCTCCCTCTGCCCACCTGGACCCGCTGCCTGCGTCGCTGTAGCTCCTGGGTGCCCAGCGAGGTGTCCACAGGTGGCACTTTGCCCTCGCTGTCCTTCAGCCACTTCCGCAGGGCTGCCACCAACCTTCGGAACTCGTCCAGCTGCTCCTGGCAGGATGAGGCGTCCCTTTCTCTGCGAGTGAAAAGGTTTTGGGCAGTCAGAGCTCGTGCTTCGCCTCGCAATTACCGCCGCTTGAATGCAGCACAGTTGTGTCTCCAAGAACCCAGCTTTTTATTATCAGCAGCAGATGCCGCTTAGGAACTGTGTGCACGATGCGGGCCAACACGGGGCGCGGGGCAGCCTGGGGCTCACACTGCCCAGGGCTGGGAGCAGCCTGCTGCACGGTGCTGACCAACAGGAGTTAGCATGGAATTCTGCTGCTTTTGCCCCATAACCTCCTTTGCAGTTAGGGAGCTGGGAGATGTAGTTTGCAACCCCCCCAGGGACACAGGCAAGCTGCTGCTCCAACGCTACTGGTGCTATCAGGGCCGATCCACGCTCAGGATGCTTTAAAGCACCTCTAACCCAACGCCAGGGAGCACCCTGCTCTGCCCCGTCACCCGCCATGCCCCCAGCCCGCTCCCGCAGGATGGGCCGGGCAGCCCACGCGCTCGGAAATGTGCGAACGCGGCTCTGCAGCACCGGGAAACGTTCCAGCCGCCCCCAGCCGGGGCTTTTTATAACGTGTCAGCTGCAGAGCTGCGCTGCGCTCCCGGCGTGGGATGGGGAGGCAGGAAGGCTTTGCTTGTGCCCCCCCTGCAAAAGGAGAGCAGACGGGGCCCTGCTCAGGCTGTGAAGGCTCGGTCAGGCTGAGGCTCACCTCTCCTTTGCCGCCTTCTGCAGCTGCAGGAACTCTTCCTTCAGATTCTGCAGCTTTTCCTGTTGTGCAGCAGCGCCGGGCACAAAGCTGCTGGCACCCAGCTCCACAGCCAGCTGCTCCAGGGCAGCCAGGTCCTCCTGGTGCTGCCCCATCTCCATATTCAGCTCCTGCCAGAAGCAAAGGGTGATGCTGGCTGTGCCCCCAGCGGATTTGGGGAGGGGGATGAAGGGGATGGCCCCGGTGAGCTGCAGACCCTCTGCAGGCAGCACCATGCATTGCACCAGAGGCAGACACGGTAGGACTCAGGACCGCTGCTCCTGAAGCTCTGGCTCAGCACATCCCACAGCCAGCTGCGGACCAAATCCCACTTCTCCCTGCCTTGCCCTGGTGCTGACTTAAAGTCACACAGTGAACATGATGGGGAAACCCAAACTGGGCCAACCCGAACCCAGCATAGCATGAACATCAGCAGGAGCTTTTCTGCATCTGTGGGCAAACCGTGCCCCACAGAACAGCACTTGTAGGGAACCTGAGTGAAGAATTCGCACAGTCGCTGCTGGCCACCAGGACTCACTGCTGTGTCACATCCTGTGCTGCACTTGCTGCCAACACTTGGGTGTTTTGCTTATTAACCAATGGAGGCTTTAATTGGTAAAGCCTCACTATATTTGGATCGGGCCCTAGGAGACTGATCCTGTCAGAAGTTTGGGCTGGCTCCAAAGAAATGCCATTCCCATCTCTCACGGCTGCAAACGGCCTCAGCTGCTCCAGCCTCACTCCCTTCCTCAAGCAAGCAGCAGGTTCCTGCGGCCCAGGAGCAGCGGGGGCTGCGTGGGCAGGATGAAACCCCACAGAACGGCAGCACCCAGGAGCCCTGTGCAGGCAGAACCACTTCCTCCCTTGGGCAGGGGAAGGCACAGCTCACCTGGAGGTGCTGGGAGAAGTGAGCGATGTCTTGCTCTGGCTGGTTCCCGGATGCCAGCATTCGCGCTCTGCTCTCCACGAACTGCTGCAGCTTCTCTGAGAGCTGCTCGTACTGCTCCACCTTGGGCAGGAGAGCCTTCAGCACCTCCTCTTTCTCCTGCTGCTGCTGGCACAGCCTTCCAAAGCGCTCTGCCACCTCTGCCAGTTTGCCCTGCAGGGCAGCAGCCGTGCTTCCATCCGCTGTCTCTGCAAAGCGCGTCACCATCTCACGGGTGGCTTCCAGGCAGCTCCTCTGCCGGGCGATGTCCTGCTTCAGCTTCTGGTGGGAGCACACACACAAAGGAGAAAACTGAGCAGGGACAGAGAGGCTGCACTGCCCCATGGCACAGCAGCACGCGTTTGTGGGTGCACCCTCCCCGGAGGTGCTCGAGGCCACAGAGGGGCAGCCTGAACTGGTGGGAGGCAATCAGCCCATGGCAGAGGTTGGGACTGGATGGGCTTTAAGGTCCCCTCCAACCCAACCACGCTGCAGTTCTGTGATGGGGGGCGAGGCAGCCTTACCGCACTGGTGGCCAAGGAGTCCTGGATGGAGGCGGAGGAGAGCGCGCCCGGCTGCTCTGTGCTCAGACTCCTCTCAATATCAGCTACTGAGTGCAGGAGGCTCTCCAGGCTCTCCTGGACGCTCTGGGACTGCGCGATGGATTTCTGCAGCAGGTCTGAGCGCTCGGCCATTTGCTGGGAGAGGATCTGGAAGCGGCTCACGATGGCATCTGCAGAGACCAGCGGAAAGTGGAGCAAATGGCACAGAGCTTCCCACTGAGCCTTCAGAGAGCAGAGAACACCAGGCTCTTGCTGACCTCAAAGGCCCCATCGCTGTGCCTCTGCCACTGCCCCGTGTCCCCCAGACGTGACAGATCATGCATCCTCATTGCTTTCCAGTCTGTCCCCATCCATCCCTGCCACACCAGCAGCTGCTCCCTGCTGTTGTTGTTTTACCTGTTGTTTCCTGAATGTGCCCATGGTCAGGGGCCGGCTCTCCTTGCACCTCCAGCAGAGACCGAGCTGCTTTCTGGAGCTTCTCCACTGGCACCTGATGCTCAGCAAGGTTTCCCTGCAGCTGCTGCTTTGGCACAAGACAAAGTCGGCAGTCAGCCACATGTAAGAGACCCTCGCCCATGATGCTCCATTTAAACCCTGAGGATAAACCCTGTCCAGCTAATCAAAAAATCCCACAATGTAGGTCAGAAGGCTACAGGCAGGGCTGACCACAGCACTGGGTCAGGCTGCTTGGGGGCATTCACAATGGGGGAATTTCCTCCCTACATCCCACTGGGACATCCCCTCTGGCCCCTCATCCTCATGCTCAGCACCTCCCAGAACAGCGTGGCTCCAACCTGCAGTGACTGCTGAGCCTGCAGGTACAGCACTGCACCCAACAGCAATATAAGAGCAGCTCGAATCTCTTCCTTGCTGCTGATGTCCAACACTGGAGCTGCAGAGCAGAGGCTCTGCACGTGCACTCCCCCAGGAAATGACCTGAGCCCCACGCACCCCAGTGCTGGCCAGCTGCTCCTGGAGAGCTGTGGGATCTGAAGAAATGCTCTCTGATAGCAGCTTCCCAACCGCAGCTTCGCTGTCCTCCAGCCACATCTGGAGAGACTCTGCCACCTCCTGGAACTGCTGGTAGTGGTCCAGCAGGGTGCTCAGGTGGGAGCCGAGCTTGGTGCACTGCAAGGCAGCAAAAAGACACAAGGGGAGGATGCACACAAGATGACAGCAAACAGAAAATGCCCAGGAATCCCAGGGTTTGCAAAGCCCTCCATACCTTGGAGTGCAGCGTGGCGTACCGCTGGCTGGCATCCTCCAGCTTGCTCTTCACCACGCTCCCAGATGACCCCGCATCCCCAGCAGCTCCCTCGGCATCCAGCACCTTCTGACCCGACATGGTGACGAAGCGCAGGTCGCCTTTGTGGGAGATGACGTCTTCAGAGAAGCTGCCCTGCCGGAGCAGCAGCTGCCGGAGGGACGCGGGGTCGCCGTCCCCTTTGCACATCCCCTCCAGGTCCTGCTCTGCTTGCTTCAGCCACGCCTCGAACTCCCCGTGGTCCCGCAAGAACTTCTGCAGCTCGTCCCGCAGCACCTGCACTTGTTTCAGCTGCGCCTCGGAACGCGCCAGGGACGCCGCATAGCGCTCCTTCAGCTCCGCCAGCCCGCCCTGCAGCCGGGCCCTCTCCTCCCCAGGCAGGCTGTGGCCGTGCTTGTCCAGGAACGCCTGCGCTGCCTGCGTCGCCAGGATGACGTCCTGCTGCTGGGACAGCAGCTCCTGGTGCTGGGCCTGGAACACACCGGCCAACGTGCAGCGGTGACCCCCGTGACCAAGGACATTGCACTGAACCCCCACAGCACTGAAATGGATGCAGGCAGGCTGTGTGTGCGGCCGAGCCCTGTCTGCCACGCCGCAGTGCTAATGAGGCAGGACAGATGTAACCCCTTCTCATTAAGGGCACCGTTCTCTCATTATGCCCATGGCGCCGTGCCTGGTGCCAGCCCCACCACTGCTCACCACGCGTCCTTCAGGTCAGGCAGGAACTTCCCAGGAGTTCCCCATAAGGAAAACCACCCCAGTGTGCGCTCCGGAGGCCAGACCCATCCATCACCCAACCCACAGGCACCACAGGCAGGGAGCTTTGAGGGGATGAGACATCAGCCCTGACCTTCAGCCCCTCGTACTGCTCATCCAGGCTCTCAGCAGTGCTGGCTGCTCCCACCACGTGCCCATCAGGGATGTCGTCTGCGCCCTTCCCAGCTCGCTCAGCAGGATGTGGTCTGTACTGTGGGAGCTCTCCCTTCTGCTCCAGCGATGCCACCCAGCTCAGGAGCGCATCAATCTTATTGCTGTTCTCCTGCAGCTCTTTGGCAGCTTTCACCTGAAATCACAGAGGCTCTGGGTAAGAATGGTTCCTTTTATCCACGTTCAGCAAAATGCTGCTCCTCACCCCAATGCAACGTGGGGCCACAGGCAGCCTCCACCCCGGAGAGCTGTGGATACATCTCACAAGTGTGTGGGGGCGCTCTGTGCCCACCCTAAAGCTCAACCACTTTGTGACCACACATCCTCCACAACTGGGGCAAGGCGAGGGCAGTGAGAACAGTGCATCATTTGACTCATTCAGGGCTTCAAGTGAGCCCGGTTCCATTGAGCAGCCCTCACTGCTCTCAGCCAGGCACAGGGCTGCAGCTCCTCACAAGTTACCTTTTCTGTCTCCTGCTGCACTGCAGCAGTCACAGCACTTTCCAGCTCCTTCTGAGCCATCTCTGTCCTCTCCTGCAGGGACTGGTACTGCTCCTTGGCACGTTGAAGCTTTTCCTGCAGTACTGCCAGCTCTCCGGGCTCCATCTTTGCCTTGTTCTCCTCCAGGAACTCCTCTGTGCTTTTTATGATGCTGGCAAAGGAAGCGGCTCGGCTGTGCATGCTCCTCTGCAGCTCCTGGGCAGACAACAGCACGATCCCATCAGGACATTCCCAGGGCAGCACCAACCCTCCCAGCGTCCTGTTTCAAAGCACCGACCTTCACGTCGCTTTGCCTCTGCTGCAAGGCAGGCAGATCTCCTTGCCTGGCTGCTTGCTGCTGCTCCACCAGCGTGTCCTCGGCCGCTGCCAGCCAGGAGCTGAGCTCGGCCAGGTTCTGTGCACGGGCTGCCTGCTGCTCCTGCAGTGTCTGCGGTCAGAGCAGAGGGGGAGAGAGCCGTTAGTGCCGGGGCTGCGCCTCGCTGTGCGCATGGCTGAAAAGCAAGGCACGAGGTTACAGCTGGAGCACCTTCCTGGAGGGGATGCAGCACAGAAACTGGCTTCTGCAGCTCTCCCTGGGCTCTCTCCTCCTCTCACATTCACACACTGCAGAAACGGGGCTGAGGTCCAAAGCCCAGCACAGTGCTGGGGGACTGCAGTGCACATCTGCCACCACTCAAGCAGGTGTCTCTTGTTTTGCTTTTTAAGAACCCCATCCAGATCCAGTTTACACAGCCCTCTCCTGGGAGAGCGCCACCAGAAGTTTCTGTGCCTCTTCCATCCAACGTTCTGAACAGGAAAACTGCACCAGAAACTCAGCTGAGGAGAGCTAACGGCCTGGCAGTGGGCAGCACCACTGTGGAGCCCCAGCTGACCCAGGGCTGGCTTTTGTACATGGGGTTGGAGAGGGAGCCCAGGGGAGAGGAAGCGTTTCTGCAGCTGACCCAGCTCCCACATTTTGCTGCCGGAGAACAGAAGCGCCTGTTTGAGCAATTGAGCATGATGTGGCCTGAGAGTCCCTGCACCATTTCTCTCCCCTTCCCCCTGGGAGGTGAAGGTTTGTGTTTCACTGGGCATTTCACAACGCGATGTACAAACTTGTGCAAAACATTGTGCTTGCGTCTCACAGTCATAAGATAAACAACAGAAGCAAACTGAAAGAGCCTTCTTAAGAGCTCTTCCGCTGCAAAGCGAGTTCTTCCTGGGTTAGGATGGGTGCACACTCAATCTGAAAAAGCAAAGCAAACTGGTTAATACACACACACACTCCAGATGGGACAGGCAAGAGTTACACAGAGCAACTGTTAATAAAACCACATTAATACTGTCTGGAACAAGAGGATCCATGCAGTGATAGGTGCTGCTGGAATGCAGCAGGACTTGGGAACTTGCTTTTGCAGCTGCTGGCTGCCTTGGTGCATCATCAGCGATTTCTCTAGGTCAGCAAAACCTTGCTCATGCTCTGACAACAGGATACGAGGACCCAGCTGTGGTGCCAGCTACACACAGGGGTTTCCTGGTGGGCTGACAGAGATCAGGGCTTGTCCCACCCGGCCCAAGATACAATGGCAGCAGAGGACTGTGCCGCCCACACCTCGGGAAGGCTCAGCCTTCTGCAAGGAAAGCAACTTCACACCTGGGAGCTACGTGGCAGGAAGAAGAAAGACTTTAGAGGAAGCTCATGATGTGCAGTGAGAAGTCGTAAACTGAGTGGCATGCAGGTGACATCCCAAACCAGGGGCTCAGGGCACGCTCCTGTGGCCAGAAAGCGCTTCAGCGAGCAAACTGCAGGCAGGACGATGTCCCACAACCTTCACCTGATCCGTCCGCTCCGCCTGCTGCAGGCAGACCTGCAGCACCTCCACCTGCGCCGCCACGCGCCCCGCCAGCTCCCGGAAAGCCTTCTGCAGCTCATTGAGCAGCCGCAGCAGCTCCCTGCTCTGCTGGGGGCGCAGGTCCTGGGCGTGCTCCGAGATAAGGAACTGAATGTCGAAGGCGGTGGCGTCGAGCTGGGACTTGGTGTCAGCAAGGGGCTCACTCAGCTCCTGGAGGGGAGGGAAGGGAAGGGAAAGGCCTGTCAGGCAGCCCCGTCGACCATACAGCCTTCATCCCCTTGGTTTCAGCTGCCAGCGATGCTGAGCTGACCAAATCTCAAGAGCTGCCACTGCCACACGAACGACAGTGGGGGGCTTTGGGCTCCTCACAGTGCCGGTGCAGTGGTGTGATGGAGGGGCTGTCAAGGCCCCCCAAGGCAGCAGCTCTCAGCCCCACGGGAATCCCATGGACCTCTCAGCTTCCACCACACACACATGCAATCATTCCCCAAATGGCCAAAGCATTTGGTTCACGCTTTGTGGAAACAAATTGCTTTGGAGCAAACACAGCATCTCTGCTCCTTCTGTGATGAAGGATAACAGCAAACCCACCGAGGCTCCGGAGGGAAGCAGAATTAACAGCTTCTCCTCCGCACAGAGAACAGCATCTCCATCCATAGGGAAGGATTGGGAGCATCGCCAAGGATTGGGGGCATCGCCATGGTTACCTGATAGCGTTGGAGGCAGCGACTCAGACTGCTCACATCCAATGTGTGCTGGTAATCGCTGCCGTCCAGCGCCTGCGCCGTGCCGGACACCCAGCACAGCAGCTCCTGCAGCTTCCCCTGGAGGGTCTCATGGTGTGCTGTGATTTCAGCCTGAAACACAGAAGTGCCCCACTTACACATGGAGAGGGGAGGACAAACCCCGGCGGGGCAGGGCAGCGGGACAGAAGGCAGCAGGGACAGCACGGCTCTACCTTTTGGGTTTCTGCTGCACCACGAAGGTTTTGCAGCCGGGACTCCAGGATATCACTTGCGGAGCTCAGAGACTTCTGGAGGTTCTTGGCATCCTTCTCCAAAGCTCTCAGTAGTTGCTCGGGGACTTCTTCAGGCGGGTTGGCCACGATCCGCTTCACGGCGTCCAACTCCTGATTCACTGGAAAGCTGAGCTCCCGCAGCTCAGCATCCAGGGCCTGGGGCGAAACAGCGCCGTTATGGCTCTGATACGCTGACTTCACCTTCCTGCTGCTGAACTGACAGCACTGCAGAGGTTTGGGAGAACCAGCTCCAAACTCTGTCTGCTGGAAAGATTCATTGCAACTGACCCGTCCGTGCAGCCCTGCTGGCTGCCAGCACTCGACTACTTTTCTCCAGGCTGTAAAACTCATTTCAGCCATGCTCAGGGAGCGTCAGAGCAGGGAGAGATGGGGTTTGCACACAAATGCTGGGGCTGTGCTCACCTCTGCCTGCTGCAGCAGTGTCTGCAGCACATCCACGTTCTGCCCCGCCGGCTGCACCCGTTTAATTCTCATCTCAATGTCTCGCAGCATGGAGAGATAGGAGATGAGCTTCTCGTCGTGCTCCAGGCACATCTTCTTGCTGAACTTGATCTGCAGAATCCGACAGTGAAACAAAAGTTCAGATTTAGAGAAAAGAGAAAACAAATGGCTGTAATTCTGAAAAGCAGAAATCCCTTGATAGCATTCCATTTCAGGGACTTTCCACTTGCTGGCCTTATCTCCAAGATTTACTACAGGAAAAATAAAACACATGGGTTTTTTTCCAACACAAGCTCAGAAATGGCAAGAGCTCTATTGTTTTACAGTAGAAGTGCCAAAAAAGGTCCTACTTATTAGTCATTTGTAAGCAACGCTCCAGCAAAAAGAAGCCACACGAAGTGATTTCAGTCATACATCACTGCGTCGTTTGCCAAATCCATTGCAGCTGATCCTGTAAGATCAAGCCCCAGACGTCCATCCTCACATTCTGACCGTCTTCTGTTCTGAGAGCCAGGGGCAAATCACACACAAATCATTCAGAACCAGCACTGAAATAGCAGACAGCAGTACTGTACCTGGGCAGGTCTGGCAGAGTCGCTCGAGGTCTCCAGCAGCTCTCCCTCCACGATGACTGGCAGGAGCAGCCCCCGATCACCAGGACCCGCCTGCCGGGGCTTCTCCTGGGCTGCTTCTCCCTGGGGCTCATCCCCCTGGGACACAGGGGCTGTGGGCACAGCAGCTCGGTCTGTGCTGATGGCTGCTGCTTGCTGCTCCGGGGGGGGGGTGCAGGTGTCCCGAACTTCTGAGGGTTCCTCTCTGATGATCAGCTCATCTGGTTTTTCACTGACTTCAACAAATGCATCACTGGTGATTTTCACTTCAGCCTCCTCCTGGCTCAGCATCCCCTCCATCTTCAACGCCGCAGAGGAATGGGGCCCCACTCTGACTGCAGCTCTCAGCACCGCTGCTGCTTCCCCTGCTTCTGGGGGGGTGGGGAGCACCTGGACCCCCGTCAGCTTTGCTGCATCTTTCCCAAGGGTTGGCTTTGCTTTCCCATCCCTGCTGCTCTCCATCTGCTTTTGCTCGGCTGCATCTTCTGCCCACCCAGCAGGAAGCTCCTTGCTGGCAGCCTCAGGCTTTGGCTCTGGAGCTCTTGAGACAAATTCCTCCTCTTCCTCCTTCCCTGGAATTTCTTTGGATACTGGAATGGGAAGGGACTGCTTTTCTACAGGTTTCTCCAGCTGAGCGCTGTCTCCTGAGACAGCAATCTGCTTTGTTCTCCTTTTCCTGCTTTTTTGTTTCTGGGCAGGTTTTAGCTCAATTTCCCCTGTTCCTTCCTGACCACCCGGACCTTCTGTCTCCAGTGTGGGGGTTTCTCCCACAGCTCTTCCATCTGCCGGTTTGTCTCTTGCAGGCTTCACAGGGACATCGGCCTTGCGGGATCCTCTGGGCGCTGCAGAACCCAACTCCTTTCCCAGACCCACAGACTCCCTGGGAGTCACCTGTGCTCCCTGCTCCCAGCTGCCCATCCTCTCCCTTTGCTCAGAAGCTGCCGCTGCACCTCCTGCCAGAGCTCCGTCCGTGCTTACAAACCCCTTCCTCCTCTCCTTGCCATCCTCTGTGCAGCGAAGCTCTTCCTGCAATCCCAATACTTTCCTTGTCCCCAGCTCTGCTGCTTCCCCTCCCGCTCCCTTCCACACATGGGAGCTGCTTTCTGCAGTCCCCGTCTCTGCTGCCTCCTTCACCACCTCAACAGAGAGAGATGCTGCACTCAGTGCTGAGGATCCTGGAATCATTTCGCCCATTTCTCGCTGCTCTCTCACGCTCTCCTCTGAAGCCTCCAGAGGGATCAGCTTTGGTTTCCCTCCTTTTGCTGGGGAACTCGCAGCTTTGGGCCTGGCTTTGTGCTCTGTGCCGGCGGACATGGCAGCACCGCCACGCAGGACCTCACCTTCCTCCTTTGGAGACATCGTCTCCATCTTTGCCTGGGAAAGGTGGGTTTTATCTACCATGAGGGCCTCAGAGCCATCGTTCTCCATCGACATTTGTGCCTCTTCAATAGCAGCAGCTAACCTTTGGCCAATCAGCCCCTTTTCAACAGCCTCCTCTAACGCCAGTCTTCTCCCGCTGCCGGCGTCCACAATTCCCCCGGCCCTCAGCTGCCTGCTGCCAATGACCGCGGCCATCCTCTCGTCCAGCAGCCCCCGCTGCAGAGCAGCCTGCAGGGACAGCCTGCTGCTGACAGCCCCCTCCACGAAGCCCCCGCTGTCAGCCTGGCCCTGCAGCAGCCGCAGTGTGGGCAGGGGGTCGGCCCTCCCCAGCCGCAGCGCCTCGGCGCACGTCAGCGCCCGGCCCGACGCCTCGTCCCGCATGGCTCTGAAGGGATGCACCTCCAGGTACCTCTGCCCGGACTCAACGTCAATCTTGCACTTCTTTACCATCTCGGCGTAGGGCACAACCATGCAGCTCTCGGGGTCGACGATGCCGTGCTTCAGCTCCGGGGAGGACAGGGCTTTCTCCACCACCTCCTGGGGCAGCAGCCCCTCCCGCCCTGCCCGGCTGAGTGCCATTCTCTGCCCAGAACTGGGATCGATAACGCTTCCAGTCCCAGCCTGGATTTCTTGCACTTTCCTCTGGAATTCCGAGCTTACAATCCCTGCTGCCACCGCCTGGGGCAAGGGCAGCTTTTCCTTTGTCGCTGGGTGGATGCATTCCTGCAGGCAAACGCCTTCAGCCTTCGTGAGTTCATCACATAGATCTCCATCGATCAAACCATGTTTCATTGCGTCGCCGACCGAGAGCCTCATCCCGGACGCATGGTGAAGGATCCCCCCGCCTGCGATCTGCCTGGTCAGCAGCTGAAATGCTTTTTCTCTCTCAAGGAGCCCTCTTTCAACAGACTGCGCAACAGTCAAAGGCTGCTTGGTTTGGGGATCCACAATCCCGCTGGTTTCAGCCTGTAAGCTGAGGAGCTTCTGCCTGGTGGCCTCATCGGTGCTCTTCCCTCTGGAAGCCTTCTCCAGTTTGACCAGCTCCTTCTGACTCGCTGGCTCGATGAGGCCGAGGTTTGAAGCCAAAGTGACCGACACTTTTTTGCCACGTTTCAGGTCGACGATGCCCCCGGTAACCACCTGCCCCTCCAAGAGCCTCATCGCCGTCTCCTTGTCCAGAAGGCCGATGGCAGCAGCGTCCTTGACGGAGTAGACAAAGTTGTTGCCCGGGTCCAGAACACCGCTGACGGCTTTGTCAGACGCGAGTACCTTCTGCAGAAGCTGCTCATCCATCAGACCTTCTTCAATGACATCCTCAGTGGTTAAAGATTCACGTGTGTGCGAGTCAAAGAAGCCACTGAACATCTTCATTTTCTCCATCAGTTTCACAGCCGTGTGGCCGGGCACCGCACCGCAGGCCACAGCTTCGTTCAGAAGCAGCGTTCTGCCCATCTGCTCACACAAAACGCCGCCGCTCTGGAGCTGCATCTGCAGCATTTCCAGAACGTCCTCGTCCCGCTCCGAGGGCTGCGGCAGGGCTGCATCACCAACGCTCTCACCACCCAGCACCTTTTCCCTCGGTCCCTCTTCCACGTGCAATACGCTCACAGTATTTTCAGTGCGCTCCATTTGCTCAGCCTCTGCAGTTTTGGTGAGCACAGCCTCCGCTCCTCCCAGAGTGCCATTCTGAGCTGTCTCCTCATTCAGTAAATAACTCTCCCCAGCGCCTTCTCCCTCTAATGCAGGCTCCTTCGCACCCTGAGATCTCCCTGCCACGACTTCCAGTCTCTCTCTGCTTGCGCCAACAGGCACCACCAAATGGCTCTCGCTTTTCACAACACCTACCCCCGTTTCCAATGCCCTCTTCTGATCTTTGATGTTTTCCACTCCATCTGATGCAATGGGTTTGGACTCTTCTGCTTTAATGAACATTTTCTCTGTTTCTCTGAGTTTCTCTGAGCCAGATTTGCAGGGCTGTCCTGGCTTCTCCTTGCTTGTAGAAGCTATTTGCTCTCTCCCAGATTCGGCATCAGTTTCACTTTGGCTGGCAGCCCGTTCAGTACAAACCTGCCCTTGCTCCTCCACATGCAGGACATGCCCTGCATGGTCCAACAGGAGCCTTCCAGGCCCCATCACCACCTCCCCGTTCTCCAAAGTGGATCTGGGTGGCAGGATCTTCTTGCTTCCTTCCTGCGGAGGAGCAAGCTGCAGCTCAAGCTGCTGCACAGCCACACCGTTGCAAGGCTCTCTTTCAAGAACTGCAGTTTGCTTTGTCTCTTCAAAGCTCTCATTCTCTTCCAGTGGCTGTGCACAGGATCCATTTTCTTGGGTCTGGATGAGGTCTTTGGTGAGGTTGCTCAACTCTCCATCTACTAAGAGCAGCTTCTGCCCGTCATGGATGTTGATGTAGCTGTGGGTCATCAAGTGGAACATCAGCTTTTCATCACCACTCCTCAGCTCAGGGTCCCTCTGTCCCTGGTGCCCTGCAGGGCTCCCTCCAGAGGAGCTCCTGCTTGCCAGCTGCACGCTGCCCATCACATCAGGTATCACCATGGATTTCAGCTTCTTTGCCACATCTCTTTCTAAGATGCCATGTTCCACTGCTTTCTTCCAGGACAACACCTCAGTGGTTTCTGGGATAAAGACAGCCTTAATGAGCTGCCTCTTCCTGAGAATCTTGTAAGCCAGCTCTGTAGACAGGACCCCTTGCTCTGAAGCATCTGCAGCTGGGACAACCTCCCCTGTCTCTGGCCACAGGAGCCCCATGAAGGACCGGAGGGATTCCAGGATCACTAAAGCAACCCGTGGTGCTACCAACTCTTTCCTTACAGCTTCATCAACTGTCAGTCTCTCTCCTGTGACCGTATCAATGATGCCACCTGTCTGAAGCTGCCGGATCAGAAGCGTGCAGGCCAAATCCTGGTCAATTAAATTATGTCTCACAGCCTCGTCCACAGCCAGCCTGTGCCCTGTCCTGGGGTCAACAATGCCACCAGCAAAGAGCTGGGCTTCCAGCAGCCTCACCGTCACCTGTCTGTCTATCAGCCCTTCCTGGACAGCACGGAAGATGCTGACTTTTCTGCCTGATTTCAGGCTCACCATCCCACCTGCCAGCTGCTTGACCGGGAGAAACCTGAGTCCGGTGTCTTGGTGGAGGATGCATCGCTGCATGAGCTCAGATAGGTTGATTTTCTCAGCAGTGTTGGGGTCAATCAAATCCTTACTGCTCTCCAGGTGGGACAGCAGCCTGGAGTAAAGCTGGGGAGGAAGGAGCCTCTCTTGCACAGCCTTCTGCATGCTGATTCTGCCCTGATGGGTTTTAAAGCCGCCGGTGACAAGTTCAACCTCGAGAATCTTTAGCCCAGTGCTCTCACTAATCCTCCCCTCTTCTATCGCAGCAGCAGCAGGCAGGAGCTGCCTCCCTTCACGTCTGACCTCATGCACCTGCTGCAGAGCATCCTTCAGCTCTCGCAGCACGTGGAAAGTCCTGAGGTTGATGATGTCTCTTGCCAGACCTTCCTCCAAGGAGAGTTTTTCACCGGTCTCTGGAAGAACCAAGTCGGATGTGATCACCTGAGCCTCTAAGAGGACGAGGCCGGTCTCCTGATCTATAAGACCTCTCTGCATTGCACCAAAGACAGGGAATATCTCTACTGTCCCAAGATCGATCACTCCTGCCACTGCTTCGTTGACCTGGAACAGAAAAAGAAGGACAAGAATCAAACCCAAATCAAGCATTTCCAGCGCTCAGACTGCACGAGGTGAAAGGATTGGCCAAAAAAACCCCAAACAGGCCCAAAAGCTACTCCCAAAGTGTTTGAAGTGCAACTTCACAGGAATCCCAGCACACACATTGGGGCATGTGATAGCTTTCAGGCTGCCAGCAAGTTTTGATGTTCAGCTTTGATGTCCATCACCAAGAGCAGCACCAAAATGCTTCCAACATCCATTACCACCAGTAATGCGGCAAAGCAGCAAGCAGCAACACCCAGAAGCATTCCTAATGCTCCATGGAGCAACAGGGAAGGAAACTGACACAGACACCAAAGCTGTTCCACAACTCAAGTTTTAAAAGCAGAAAGGTGACACGGATCCCAGTTCATACTAACAGAGGAGAATAACCCCAGATGTCCCTTCAGGGTGGGTGGGAACCTCTTCCAGTGCAGTTTCCACCCTGACTTCTGCCACGCTCAATTCCTGCCCTTTAGTGCCACACACCCAGGGAACACCACAGGCCTTCAGCTCCCAGCAGCACTGACCAGCCATGCACTGGGGCACAGGCACTGCCCCGGCATGCACAGCAGCTCCCCAAGCACGTCCAGCTGCTCTGCCCTATGCCAGCACCTAGCTGTGCTCTGTGGGGGCAAGGGAGGAAACAGAAGAAGTTGTACGTCCCAGCACAGGGACAGTGACAGGCTTGGGACTTTGGCATTTCCGGAGGGGCTTTTTTTGCAGGGAAGGTAAGAACTAATGGCAAAGAGTAACAGCACTCTGGACCTTTGGACTTCTCCCAGCTGGTGTAGAGTTGAGTCAAGCACCGTGTTGGGGGGAGAGGAGTGATTCTGCACCACAGAACCCTAGGAGCAGGTGGGGCCAGCAGCCCTGACCCTAAGAGCAGCCCAGTGCCCCCCACCATGGAGCAGGTGGGTGTGCGGGGAACACCAACGGCACCGCCAGACTCAGACACACACCTTCAGAGATGAACAAGCCATGGAAAGACAGAGAAGAAGAGGTGGAAGAGAAAAATGAAGGAGGAGATGGGAGGAGGGGAGTAAAAGGCTTTTACTTACCAGAGTTGCAGGGTGTGCCTTGAGCAGTTAAAGACAGAGCCTTATGGAGCAGTTCAGCCGTATCACACACAGTGTAAAGCTTGGTGTTAGCGTCCAGCATGCGACCGTTTTGTTTGCAAAAAGAACCCCCCACACAGGTCGTCCTCTGTCACTGTGTGTTTTGTTTGCTTATGTCCCGGAGGGTTAGTTAAACTTGTAAGCAAGGATGTCAGTTAATCTTAAAAACAGTTGACATGAAACACAAACTGTACATGGACACATCATGCTCAATTCAGCGCGCTCTGCTTTGCTTTTTTTTTTCTTCTCAACTTTATAACGTCTGTCTGACAGTTGGATGTTTCCAGCAAGCAAATGTTAAGAGTCCTTCATGCTCCCTGTACAATGAAGCAACTGCACCCACGGCAGCCACGCTGCAGCCTCGTGGACGGGCCAAGGATCTGCAGCACAGCCCCAGGGCCGGCCCTCACCTCATCTCTTGGGCTTTGAGAGCGTGAGCGAAAGCTGCTCTGATCGGAGCCCCACCTCAAGGAGGTGGCCTAGAGAGGGCTGGGCAAAGCCTGCACACACAGCCGTTTTCCTGCCCACGAGGGAGGAACAGGAAAAGAGGGAATGGACCAAGTGCCCTTCCTGCTGGCAGGCGCCTCCCAGCCGCCACGGCCGAGCTGCAGCCCAGCACTGGTGGGACTCACATGGAGACAGCCAAAATGCTGGGGAGGCCGAGTGGAAGGGAGGCGCTGTGCTGGGAGGCTGCAGAGACAGATCTCGGGTGAGCCCATGGCCTGCTGGAACAGGGCTTCACTCACCGACCCAGCACCAAAACCAGATCTGAGGTCATTGCTTCAGGGTACAGGGAGCCAGCAAGCAAACACACAAATATATCCACTGACACATGTATATACACTTATAGAACACGTACATGTATATCTGAACGACTGCAGACAGCTGGCACAGAGGCAGGAAGGATGAGCCCAGAGCACTGGGGCATGCGGGGCCCCAAGCAGCCCTGCGGGGCCGGCAGACAACACAGCCCTCCACCCGGGGGGGTCTTCCTTCAGCCAAGACCCCAACAAAGCCCTCACCACGCCGTGAAGCTGCACAGGCAATATGCCTGCAGGAAGCCTCCTGCTTGTGCCTCCAGCCCTCCCCGTCAGCAGGGCATCACATGGAGGAGGCAGACTGCTGCGGAAGCGCCTTCAGGACTGAAGACCTTTTACCTCTTTGCCCACCATGTGAGCAAACCAACCCTTTTTCGAGCTCTGACTCAAAGTATTGCAAAGGACAACGCAGTGAGCTGTGCCAGGGCTCCTGCTGGGCCACCAGCCACCAGGCCAGCCCCCAGGTGAGGCCTGAACAGAAAAGATGGGAGGGCAACCACGTGCCAGTGGGCAGCCATGTGAAACACAACCAAACAACACCTTTTTCAGTACCTTGTGCTCTGTCTCCTGAGCCAGCTGGCTCTGCAGCTGCTGGAGCTGCTCTGTGGTGTCAGTGCAGAGTGCCTGGTACGTGTCCTTCAGTGCAGCGACCTGAGCTGAAATCTGGTCCTTCTCCTGATGGGAAAGCCTGCAAGGGAACGGGAAATCTCTCAGGGGAGCTGCACAAAGTATTTGCCAGCTCCACAGAACAGACATGATCTTCTCCAAAAGGAAAAGGCCAAACCCACTATGAGTCCCCTCTTCCCACTGCCCTGCTCCTCGCAGGGAGAGTAATTGTGCTTGGCAAAGGCTGACCAGCATTATAACGACCAAACCCCCAAATGTACCAGGCTGGATCACCACTGAAGTATATAAGTATTGTCTCAACAGTATAAACATTTCATATTTCGTAGCTGCTGTTGCAGATGAGGAAAAATGGCCCTTTGATGTGTGGAAATCAGGTGCTGGACTTCACAGATGCCAGTCCATCAGTGCCCACCCCAGGATAACTCAGCTGTCCAGCTGCTGCCACCACCTACCACTTCCCCAGGTTGAACTCACTTGTGGTTGTGCTTTGCCAGGAAGATTTGTGATGTTTTGATGGCTTCAGAGACCTGCTCCTTCTTTGCAGCCAGCTCCTCACTGAGGGCCTGTTGAAAAAGCAGAAGGAAGCTTAATTCAGCCATGGAAGAACAGCAGAAGTTAAGCAAACAACCTCATGTTTGCCCCCACAGGGATTGTGGCCATGAGAGAGGAAGGACTGCTCTCCTGGAAGCCAAATAACACAGTGACACCAAGAGGACAGGGGACACGTAACAAGAGTGGGTCAGAGGTGGGCCCAGAAGGTGCCTGCCTACCTGCTGCTCTGAGATGGACTTCTCGATGTCTCCCAGCTCCCTGCTCTGGGCAGCAGCTGTTCTGCCTTGCACGCTCTGCTTCAGGCCCACAGCCCAGCCCAGGAGCTCCTTCACCTTGTCCACATGCTCTTGCTTCTCCTCCTCCACCACTTTCTGCAAATCGAGGAGAAAGAAATTGCGTCAAAGGGGTCCCAGATTTCCAGAGTCTCTCAGGAGCAGCACCTGAGACACAGGTGGGACTGAAAGCTGAGGGCAGACGTTAGAGAAGCAGAGCAGCAACCCTGGGCTGCTAGGAAGAGAGTCTGAGTGATGAGGATGCAGCTCAGCTCCAGGCAATGCCCTCACCTCCTCCTCCTCCAGCCGCCGCAGAGCATCGCTGATGTACTTGACGTGCTGCGTGGTCAGCGTTACCAGAGCTGTGTACCGAGTGCGCAAATCCATGAACTGCAAAGGGGGAGAAGGGCGGCGCGTCGGTCACAGCCAGCAGAGCTGGGTGCACTGCGCTGCACAGCACATGGCACGGATGCAGCATCTCTGCCCTGGAAAGATCCCCAGCACGGCCCCACTGACGGCAGCAACGCCGGAGGGGAGGGACGTGGCCACGCACTGCATGCTGCACAGCACTGGAGCTGAGGGGACACTCTGCCCACGGACACGGGGCGGGCGCTCAACTCTTAACTCTTGTTGGGATCTTTAATATCCGCACGGAGCAGACGGGGCCTCTAAAGGGCTTCATCCCACAGATGCACACACAGTAATGCTGCATGGCGCTCCGGTTATTACCTCGCCGAGCCGACCCCGCTGCATTTGGCCCAGGGGTTCCCAGCAGCCCAGGTATTTCATACCTGGTGCTTAGAGCACTAAGCCACCCTCTCTGGCTATTGGAAAAAACAGCGAGGGTGGAAACTGTATTTATCCACCGAGCTCAGCAGAAAGGAGCTCATTTCACAGAGGCCGCTGGGCAGTTGGATGGAGTGCAAGAACTCCCAGCCCCCGACGTGAGGCTCAGGCAGGTCCCTACCTCCTGAGTGATGGCATCCGAGGAGGACAGCATGCGCCGGCGCTTCATGGGGGATTTCTGCTGCGACTCCACAAACGCCCGGTACGTCATGAGCTGCAGCTCATAGTCCTGCAAACACAGCCAGGGCGGGAGAAGGACGCTGCAGCCACTTCTTTCATACTGGCACCCTCAGAGCTTCAGCTCCTGCTGGCTGCTTGCACACACAGTCACCTCTCTGCTAACCAGGAGGTGAAGAGCAGGCGAGGTGCAAACTGTGCCCTGGGTTTAGGAAGGGCCCTTACCTTGACAGCAGCTGAGTACTGCTGGGAGAACTTCTGACACTGGTCCAGCTTGGCTTGATTTTTCTCAATTTCTGCAGCCAAAGCCTTAAAAAAAAAATTCAGAGCAAAAAATGATTGTCAGGACGGCAGCCTCAGGTGAAATGTACCAAACTTCAGCTCCTATCTTTTGCCTTCTGGGTGAAGCCTCAGAGACTCCAATCTTTCATGCACAGCCCATTTCAACCTCAAGGTAAGGAGCTCCTCTGTTTCCCCACCAGTCTTTAAGAATTCATGCTCTCAAGCTCAACGATGGAGGGATTTTAGCAGAAGCAGCCATAGTCAGGGCAGTGAGCACGCTGTCAGGACGTCCCGCGCTCCCATCTCACCGTTTGCTGGCTCAGCTGCTCTGACAGCACCCGGCTGTCCTCCGCCTGCCCGGGTTTCATCAGCTCCTGCTGGGCGGTGATCTCCTCGATCCACTGGATGAGGGCCCTGTGGCACTGGCGGTAATCGCTCAGCACCTCCTGGATGCTCTCCAGCTCTGTGTGGCTGAAAGCAGAATGGAGATCAGAGGGGTGAAATCCCGCCGCAGGTTAGAGGGGCATCCCAGCCATCCCGGGGGCCCCTACTGGGGCGAAGAAGCCTGACCCAAGCCCTCAGCTGAAGCATGAAAACAGATCTGGGAATGGAAGCAGGAGTTTTCTCACCGGGTCTCGATCTGGGCGCAGGCTCTCTGCCAGCGGTCCCACAGCTGGCTGCCCTTCTCCTGGTAGCGCTCGAGGTCGATGCTGCGCTCCTGTCTCAGCTGGTACAGCTGCTCCCCCACTGCCTTTGCCTTCGCCATCTCCTCCTCTAACACGGAGAACACTGAGTTCTTGCCCTTCACTTCCCCGAGCCATTGCTTCAAAAACAATACAAGGCAGCTCACATTAACGTCACAGAAAGCAGAGCACAGAGCTTCACCTAAGGTTGCCATTAAACCACAGAATCCCTCCATGCTGCAGCTGCAAAGCGAGCGAAGGAGCTCATCCTCCCTGGCTGCACCCCCCGCAGTGTCTACAGCCTGACTGCAGACCTGGGAGATGCCAACAGGAGGGAGCAGTTCCCAGCCTGGAGCAGGTCTGATTGGTTCAGCAGCCCCTGCCCTCACAGCAGCAGGACACACAGCTGCTAAGAGGCTGGCACACATTAGCATGTGCCTGCAAGTGGAAGCACAAGGCCACGGCTGCTCCTTTATCTTTACAATGAAATAAGGGAGACAAGTCCTCCCAGTAGCTATTTTGGACAGGAAAAACAGCACACAATGTAAATTCAGCAGAGAAAAGGAAGGAATCTGCTCAACAAACAAAGCATTGGCTGTTTTCTCTGTGCACTCTTTGAAGTGAGCAGCACCAACCTGCAGGGCACTTCTGTGCGCCTGAATTGCTGTCAGGTCAGCCGGGACAGCCTCCTCCTGGCTCAGCTTCACCTCATATCCCTTCACCAGAGACTCTGCTCCTTGGGTGTTACGAATGATAACATCAACCGTCTTCAGCCTGGCGGGTCAGAGAGAGGCAGCACAATGACATCTCACTTTTGGCAGAGGTCCTCCCGGCTGCAAGGCGGTTTGCGCCCCGAGTCACAGCACAACTAGCTGTGTTAGAGGACCAGAAGGAAGGTCGGCAGCAGAACCACACACAGAGGCAGGTCCCACTCACTTGTCCAGGTAGACAGAGGACAGCCCATACGTCTGGTCCATCTTGTTCACCACCAAGTCGAGCTCAGCTCGCAGGCGCGGTGTGCTGGGGCCGCTGGGTGCTCTGCTGAGGAAGCTGCAGCAGCGCTCCGAAACGCAGCGCAGGTCAGACTTCAGCCGCTGCAGATCGTCCTGTGTGCGCTGCGGGAGGAGGGAGAGAAGGTGAAAGGAGAGTCAGAACGGGCAGAGAAAAGCAGGCGGCGAAGGAGACGGGGTGAGACGGAGCAGGAAGCCCACTCAGTTTTTTCTGTCTGGGAAGTTCCCTTAAGCCCCACTCCCACTGCCCACACATTCAACATAGAGGGGTCACAGCCACTGCAGGCACGCGCGGAGAGCAGCGTCCAGCATCCCCAGCTGAGGACCGACCTCCTGCTCGGCGATGCGGACGGTGTTCTCCTGGATGCTGTCACCATCCGCTCGGGTGCTGCTGGGGGACTGGATGCGGCTCACGAGTCTCTGCTCACACTCCTCCAGGCGCAGGCGGACGTTCTGGAGCTCAGAGAGATACGTCCTGGCAACTGTCTCATCCTTGTCTTCTGCAAATTGGGGACAAACCACAAGAGCAGCTCACAGCCCCGCTCAGTATCTGCTGGGAGCCCACCATGCTGGCACTGTGGTGCTGTGGTCTTTGTTCAGGTAGAAAACAAGAGAATCAGATCTTCTCATTGCAATAGAGCTGAGAACGGGTCCAGCCACAGGACACCACACCAAGACCCACATCCTAATGGGACTGAGCTCTGAGCAGCGGGACTGCGGCTGCCGCATCCATTTTGTTAACAGACTGAACACAGGAAGGACGCATCTGACCAGTGACAAGCCTGTCTCTGGCAGTGTTAGGGGAAGAGGGCTGTGCATTAACCTGGGGCTGCAAAGCCAAGTCTGCGCTGTGGGAATGTCACTGGACAGAGGCCGAATATTTGAATGGATGGAGGAATAAACAGAGCAGCTGCTCACAATACCATCCAGCTAGCTCAAGACAGATGAGAAGATGAAGCTGTCCCATAAATCCTTTGTTTATTAGTCCCCGCAGCTCCTAGTTAATCCATCAGCCCTGCGGAGCTCACCGTTCTCCATGGACTCCAGCAGCTGCTGGATGTGCTCCTTGGAAGACTCCACCTCCTCCTCCAGGCGCAGACGGTCTGACACTGAGAAGAGCTCGGAGTCGCGGCTGTCCTGCAGGAAGTCCTCATAGTGCGCCTGGAGGCTCCTCAGCGCCTGCTGGCACTCCCCCTGCGCCAGGGAGCGGAGCTGCAAGGGGAAAAGCAGCACATCCACCACGGGATCACAGCCTGCAGGTCACCGAAGCCTCCGTACCTCCATCGCCTCCATTTGCTCTTTAGAGCAGAACAGGAGAGCTCCCCATGTTAGCCCCCTCCCTCATTGCTCATCCCTAATGAAATGCTAAGTCCATGATCCCTTATCCTTATTACAGCACAGTGCAAACTGTGGACGTTCTTTTTAATGGGAAAACGTGCAGCCATTCTGTGCTGAGCCCCCGAGCTCAGGTTCTGCCATTGCCCCACATCACTGCGGGTCCCGGCAGCCCCCGCTCTTCACCTTCACACTCCCTTCTCCCCACCACCGTGTGAGTGTGCAGCAGCGCAGGCACAGAAGTTTCTGCCACACCTTTTCCATGCTGAAGCTCTGCACCAAGGCAATGTCCTTCCGAAGGTAGTTCCAGGAGATGAGGCTCTTTGTGTTCATGTGGAGCTGGTGCCAGAGAGCCATCACTTTCTGGTACAGCTGTTCCACCCTGTGATGGGAATGAGCAGGTCCGTCAGCCCCAGCCCTCCCAGCACGTCAGCCCTATCCCCACTCATTGCACAAGAGGTCCCTGCACCCCTGGGCCGTACCCCCAGCAGCAAGTTACCTGTTGGCCATCTCGATGGCCTCTTTGTTGGGAGGGGGGATCAGGAAGCACACGGAGGGCACCATGGCCTCGTTTCCTGTGGGGCTGATCACCTTCCACTTCGTTCTCTGCGAGTTGTCCTCCAGCACGCACTCGTCGTTCCGGCAGATGGTGATCTGCAGTGGCACCAACAACAAACACGCAGCCCATCAGCAGGGCTGCACCCACCCACAGCTCACAGCCCTGCTGTAGGGAAAGCAGCTTCCCCATCAACCCCTGCAGCTGATCAAGCAAAAGCACGGGACGCTGCCAAGTGGAGCAGCATGTTCATGTCTGGAGAGGAAGGGGCCAGGAAGCAGAGCTGGCTGCCACACACGTGCTGGTTTGGCTGAGGCTGATGAAGCCCATCCTCCCTGGGGAAAAGGACTTCAACTCCTTCCCAGAATAAATCTGAGATGTGCAAGTCTCCTCCAGGAAGAACAGCCGGCTCCTTCCCTCCTCCTCTCTTCCCACTGCGTCCCTAATTTTCATTGACAGACACCACAAAACTAGCTCTAAAACCTCACAGGCACTTCTCCCCTGCCACGCTGTGCCCTCCCACTCAAAGCCGGGCTCCAACCCACAACGCCTTCCCGTCCCAGCCCTCACCTCGATCTGCCGATAGTCACACACAGCCTTGATGGGGATGGTGCTCTTCACCAGGTGCTCCGGGTTCCTGGGCCGCAGCTGAACGATGCTCTTGGACCGTCCCACCAGGCTGGCGACGGAGCTCTTCGACTGGATGAGCTGCTCCTTCTCATCCTGGCAGGGAGAAGGACAAAGCACGGTTTACTCAGTGAGCAGAAGGAGGAATAGGAAGAGGCGGAGGAGGAGGAAGAGGAGAGGTTTCTTAAGACACCACAGCACCCCCACCCCAAGGCTGCCCTTCCAGAGCTCTGCTGGGACTGCAGGGGCTGGACAAGCATTGGGACATCAGAGCTACTGCCTGCCCAGCGTGGGGAAAAGGGACTGGGAGAAATGGATAAAAGGAAAGATGGAAGGGAGAAGCCTTCAGACCAGGGGTGGGACCTCTCCACTACTCCTGCTGCCCCCATGCACACCTCTGGCTCAGGCTCCTGGGACAAGAGAGCACTTTCAAAAGGGAAAAAAGAGAACACAGTGTACACCAAAATTAAAGTCCCAGGAGGTTTTACGTGGCAGAGAGCAGGACAAGCCCCAGCCCAAAGCCAGGGGTGCTTGGTTGCCTGGAAGAGACACCACGGAAGCATGCTCCCTCTTCTAAAGCGAAGAATGGAGGTGTGTTTGTATCAATGGCAGGGGTACAACAGCTGATCTACATCTCAGGAGATGAACAGCAGGGGTGACCACACAGCTCTCTGGATGCGGGCAGAAATCTGTCGGTGGGAGGAACTGCTGGACCCGACTCCCTGCACGATGGGGTGACCCAGGGGTTGGTGGCAAAGCTCCCATGGACAGGACAGGGACGCGTGCGGCTCATGGGCGGCCCGGGGGAGCGGTTACAGCTAGCATGGCCACAAAGGCTGAAGAGGATCCCAGAACAATGCTGTCCCTCATGCTTTGTACTCTCAAGGTTGGTTAGTTGCTATGCACAGTGAGGGATAATTTAATGGTAAAAGGTAAAAAAAAAAAAGAAAAAAAGAAGAAATGATTAAGTAAACTACCTGTGCCTGTCCCCGGGAGCATGATTGGAAGAAATACAGCTTTAACTCATTAGGTAAGAAAGAGCGACAAAGAAGCTGCCAGCCTCCACACACACAGATTGAGCCCTTCTGCCCTTCCATCAAGGCTGAGGGAAACCCGCAGCCCAAACCCTCCCTGCCCACGTCTCCACACCCCACGCGGGTGGCAGGGACTCCCAGAACCCACCATGGAGTCCTGCAGCAGGTCCTCCAGCCGCGTCAGGCTCGTGCTGTGGTCACAGGAATACTTCCTTCTGATGGAGTCCTGCAGGTTGCGCAGGTACGTCTCCGACTCACGGGCATCGCTGAAGAACTGCAAAGCCAGAAGTGTCACAGAAACCTGCACAGCTCAACGCAGCCATCGGCAGCACAGCACTGCAGGGCAGCACCCCAGATCCCCCCAGCAGCTGCCTGGTCCTGTGAGATATTCCCAAAGAGCTGCTAGAAAGAGGCAGGCAGTTCAGAAGCAGCGCCCTGATGAGCAGCGCAAGCTGCCGCTCCCCTCTGCCAGAAAGGGAAAGCAGCCCATGAACCTCACGCACTGGGATGCAGCCAATGGAGCTCGTGCCCTGGGATGCAGGGATGCTCTGCAACCCACACATGCAGCAGGGTTTGCCCTCCCACTCAGCCCCAGCGATTTGGGGCTCCCTGTCCCACGTACCTGGAAATAGGCAGCGTTCTCCTTCACGTGCTGCTCCACGCACAGGCAGAGCTGCTTGATCCACTGCCACTGGCTCTGCACAGCAGCGCTGTAGGCCTGGGGAACACACAGCAAACAGCAGTGAGCGCTCACCAGCCAGGAGGGTCACAGGAAGGACACAGCCACAGCCGGTGAGATGCACATAAATGGGCAACGCTCTGCCTGCTGTCGGTCTGTTTGGACGCAGACGAAGCACAGGAAAGCAGAGCAGGAAGAGGCACACAGGGGCTGCTGCAGGCACAGATTTGCTGCCCCCAGCACCCGCTCACCTCCACGGTTTGCTTGGCGGGGTGGTTCTCCAGGGCCAGCAGCTCAGCGGTGTCTTGGAGGGAGCGGAAGATGTCCTGCTTCTCCTCCAGCTCCATCGTCAGCTCCTGCACGAAGGACACGAGCACAGTTCAAATCTCAGCTATCAGCAGCAGCCTGCACTCACAGCACGCGTCCAGCTAATGGAACAAGCAGTATCAGAGCACTGCCGTAAACAGCAGCAGATCTCAGGTGCAGATAGGAAACCAGCAAGGCTTGTCTGAGCACCATCAGGCTGCCCTGTGCACCACACACACAGGGCAGACCAAACACCGGAGCTGGAAGCCTGCCCAGGGACCTCCTCAGTTTCAAACATTACAATTGTGGGAAGACAGCAATTTATTTATACTGCTTTAAAGAGGAATCAACTTTCCTCTTTAGCCCAGACTTCTTCTTTTTTGTCTGTGTAAGGATGTCTTTAGTTTCAAGCACTGCTAAAAAACATCTTTTGATGCCTTTTCCATTGACACTGAATTGAGCAGACTTTTTTTGTGCCTTCAGCCCCGGGGAGAGCTGCACTCATGAGCGACAAGCTCTGACTCAGGAAGCATGCAACACGTGCCGAGCATCCCTGGGACTTCTGCATGGAGCTCGGGGGCAGCGTGGTGCAACCAGGAGCTCCCAGCCCAGCGCAGCCAGTCACTCACCGAGAAGTAGTTTCTCTTAGCTGCGATGTTCGGGTTGTTGTCACTCCAGTCATAGGCCAGTTCCTCCTCCTCCTTCTCATTCAGCCATATCAGCTCGGCGGTGGCCCGAGACACAAAGCCGTGCAAGCTCTGCAGGTGCCTCAGTCGGAAGCTCGAGGTTTCCTGGACACAACGAAGCGACCCATCCCTGCGTGAGCTCAGAGAGCCAGGGCTGAGCCTCGAGAGATGCTGCTCCCTCCCGCCCTCGCAGCAGAACTGGATGCTCGACCCGTGTGCCCAGGACACAGCAGGCGCTCCCTGCAGCATCAGGCATTGCTCGAGATGCAGACAGACCCACTCACCATCAGCTTGCAGTACTGTGTCTCCAGCTTGCTGAGCGTCTCTGTGTAACTAGCGCGGAAATTCTGAGACATCTTACCCTGGGGGATGAAAGCACTCCTGTTACCTGATGTAGGACATCTTTCAAAACCCCATCTCCAAACCCAGAGAGGATGGGGGCAGAGAGGATGCTCAGGGCAGCAGCAGCCCAGCTGCTCAGAAGCTCTGTCCTTAAAAACCCATCTGCCCCATCCACCTCTACCCACAGGAGGGGACATCCTGACTTCGTCACCCTCCCATGCACGCAGTCCAGTGCTGCCATACCTCATACAGCCGTGCCTCCTTGACGTTGGAGCCCAGCTCCTCCACGCTGCTGTGGATGTGCCGCTGTGTCTCCAGCTGGGTTTCCACGCTGGGCAGGTCGCTGCCCCACTCTGCCCGCTCCAACCTCATCTGCAACAGGCCAAGAGTGCAGGTCAGCCCTCCTGGGCTGGGGACTCACCTCAGAGAGCCAAGGGAACCTCCTGGGTAATGAAGGAGGTGACGGATGGCACAGCAGCCCTGGTAGGGGCCCCAAGCCCACGGGACTGACTGGTCACTGCAGATTTGCATGCAGCTTTGAAAGCATCCTCCAATACGCAGTGAAGATTGGGATCACATGAGAGAAACAAGACAAAAGCTCTCCAGAAACTCTGAGCCGTCAGAACAACCACAATCTCCAGGCAAAACCACACGTCCTCCCTCATCAGTGCGCAGGAAGGCAGTCAGCGCTCACCTGCATCTCCTCCACCCAGGCCAGCAGCTCATACACGAAGCGCAGGCTGCCTTCGTCCTCAGAGGAGGAGATGGCCACCAGCTCCGTCCTGGTCATGGGCTTCCTGAACCAGGAGGCAGATGAGGTGTGCAGCCCTTTGGTCAGGGATTCGCCCTTCAGCTGCGTGGTGCTCAGGGTGGGTGCGGGCGCCAGCTCCAGCGTGGAGAAGTGGCCCTTTCTGTACAGGTTGGTGCACTCGAGCCTCAGCGTCACCAGCTCGTCCTGCAGCCGCATGATCCTGGCGGAGAAACGGAGCGGTGAGCAGATGAGGCCGATGCTGCGCTGCCTGCTGGCACGCATGAGGAGCAGGGACGACACGCAGCACCGCTGGAGCCACCTCAAGCACAGCCCCGCTCACCTGAACGCCAGCTCCTCCAGCTGGTAGTAATTCTCGTCCCGCAGGATCTGCACGTCCACCTGCAGCTGGCGGAGCAGCCCCTCGCACTCCTGCAGGTACACCACGACGTCGGCCTCGTACTGCACCGGCTGGCCGGCCTCCAGGTGGGCAGCATCCTGCATGCAGATGGGTGAGGATCAGTGAGGCTGAGGGCTGCTCCCCCAGCCCTGACGTGTGGGCAGAGAGAACAGAAACCCAGCACTGACTCCAGCACCAAAAGGACCTCTTCACCCTATGCTCAGTTATGGTTCTGTCTGTTAGAACTCACACCTCGCTCGGCACGTTGCTTTTAAAAAAACTCCTGCAAACTTCAGACAGAGCCAAAGCTGGCAGACGCCCCATGCAGTGACAGCCCCTCACATGGCACCTCACTTCTTGGTTGGATTTAACCAGCCAGCTTCCAGACCCCGCAGCTCTGTGCACCTCCATCTTCCAGAACAACACACTTCCTCTACAGAAATCTACTCCATAGTTAGTAGGTAGCGACAGTCTGAAGCTGAGTCTTTTCTATCTCTCTTCCAGACAAACACAGCAGATTTTTGTGGTTTTTTAAGCCTCGTGATGTCACAAGCTTTCCCAGAACAGCAGCCGCCTCCCAAGCCAGCAGCCCTGCAGGGTCCATCCCCAGCTCAGCTGTACCCACCACCATCCCCACAGCCCTACTTGGATGGGCTCCACATCCTACAGAAAGGAAAGTTGTCCGGGGGAACTCACCACCCCACAGTAAGCGAGAGTGACAGAGATGGGCATGAAAGAAGAGTCAGAAGAAGAGGAAATAACAATGTCAGCCCCCACTCACAGCTTGCAGTGTGTTCTTTGCAAGTGTGAGTTTTTCTTCACAGCTCAGAGCGCCGTTCTGGATTTTGTTGGCGATTTGTAGCAGCAGTTCCAGCCTGAGGAATGGATGGGAGAAAATGAGAAAGGCGCTGGGTCACGCTTTGGGCACAGGGGTGTCCCTGCAGGGCACAGAGGGGCACCAACCTTTCCACCGCCGGCCGCAGGAGCTTCTCACGCTCCAGCATCTCGATGATCAGCTTGCCCCACTCCTCCTCCACGTCGTTGGGGTGGTACCCCTGCGGCAATTTGATGCGTCCAAACTCAATCCACACCTGCAGAAAACACCGACAGAATGGCAACCCACACCTCCCCGAGCTGGCCAAACTGCGGCAAGGCAGGCGGGGCTGTGAGGCAATGTCTGTCTCCGCTCCCGAGAGCTCTTTGCTAAATTATTTGCCCCGAGGGTTGTTTCCACTTCTCTGTTCCAAAATAAATCTGGGGTGAGCACACCATAGTCTCGCTAAAAGCACAGCACTCCCACCTGCAAGCCTCTGCACGGCTTACCTCTCACAAACCTTACCTCTAACAGCTTGTAGAGCTCCTCTATCCTTCCCTTCTCCTGCTCTCTTGCTGGGATTTCAGTTTCTTTGAAGTGTATGTATTGGTTATAAAGTGCCTGTGATGAGAAAGGCTGCATCAGAAACCACCGTGGGGAACAGCACCACGCAGCACTGTGTGCAAGGACCACTCCAGGACCCACCTTCAGCTCTACGGGGTTCTGGGGGAAGGATTTATCTGACATGAGTATCGTGTGCTGCTTGATCCAGGAGATGAGGGACTCCAAGCGGGTCTGGTACTCCAGCCACCTCGAGTCCACCTCCTGCGGGGGAGAACACGCTGCAGTCAGCACTGCCACATCCCCGCATCCCTCTGGACCTGGGGAAGCTCCTTCCTCCCGCAAGCTGCCCCCAGCCTGTAAGGGCTGAAGGAAGACCTCCGGGCCCCTCCCGAGTCTGGGTGCTGAGCCGCATCGCTTACGATGGCACTGATCCCTTCTCCTCCCTCAGGGACTTTGGGAAAGGCATCGTAGATTGAAGACACGTAAGTTATCACCGACTTCTCGTCCGGAGATGGAACGTCCACGTCTGCAGAGGGGGAGCAGAAGCTGTGAGGGATCGGAGGAGACACCGCGCTCAGCTCTGCCCCGCGCTGCCCTCAGCAGCTCTCACCTTCAGCATCCAGCAGCCGCGTCACCCCCAGCCGCTCCGCGATCTCGAAGGCCTGCTCCAAGTTCTCCCGGTTACTCTGGATCTGCACCCGCTCCATGTCCACCAGATCCGGCCTGCGAGGCATGTGTCAGAGCCCTGACGCCGGGGCACAGCATCCCAGCCTCGTTAAACCTCCCCCCACCCGCAGCCTGACGCCTCCATCGCTTTTTCTGAGCATCGGCTCGGCTCCTTGGCACAGATGGTTCCAAGGGAAAAGAGACCCTGAAAACCTCACCCACATCCCGAGCAACTGCATCCCACCACCAAACACAGAGGTGGGCAAGGACCCCCGGGAAGCCCCCAGCCTTCCTTCCACCCACCAACAATTCTCACCCACCTGTATCTGTGGATGAGCGCATTGAACATCTTCCCATCGCTCCAACACGAAGAGAAGTTGGTGCACTTCACCCCGATGTAACCCGCTGTCACTTTCTGTGTCCATAGCAGCAGTTTCTCCTTGGCTGACATGTCCCCTGACTCCCCACTGATGTAGATGTCAGAGATCTGCAAGCAGGAGCAGACCAGGGGGTGACGCAGGGAAGGCTCCACCAGGACGCTCAGCTCCTGCAGCAGGGCTGGCAGCCCCCAGCAGAGCAGGAGGAATCTCCTGGCGGCTGCGAGGGAGGGGGGATGCTCAGATGGTGAGCTCAGGGACACTGCTGCGTGCGGCGTGGTTTGGGCAGAGCACAGCTCCAGGTGCAGTGCCACCGAGCTCAGCAGTGCCACTCCGCGGGGCAGAGCAGTGCCCAGAGGTGCTGCTCAGTGACAATCGGAGCAGAGGTGGCCCATGCCATCACAGCCAGCACAGCTCGGAGCAGGGCCACCAGCTGGCAGGATGGGACTGCCACATCCCAGCTCCCCCTCACCATGCCCAGTGCAGGTGGCAGTGCCACCACAGCCCTGCAGCAGGGACCGACCGCCACCAACGCCTTTCCATAAGAGCACAGCACCGGCTGTGGATCCCAGGTTTGCATGTGACAACACGCACGTGTCTCCATGCCAGACTATTTCTGATTGACACGGCTTGCTCCCCACCCATCCTCCCAGTTCCCCAATTAGCACAATTACCTCGCCTTAATGACGGGGCAGACAAAGAGGAGGGTGTGAACTGTGCATACTTTCTGGGAGCTGGCAGAACACAACCCAGCCTCTTCCCGAGCTGTTCCTCCTCCCAGCAATGCTGGGATCATCAGCACCAACCCCACCTGCTGCCCCTCCAAGTCCAGTTTGTCCCCAGAGCGCCCCATCACCGCATCCCCCAAGCCCTGGGCAGGAGGGATAGCAGGGCTCCCCCCCCCATGCCATTGGTATGCTGCAGCTCACCTCCCTCCAGCCTGATCCGCTGTCATGCACAGAACCGCTCTTTGTGCAGCCAGCGCCGCCGTTAACCCTTCCAGACCCAAAGGCTGTGGGGCCGAGGATGGTGATGCACCGGGTGGCTGCACAGCTCCCAGCATCGAAGGAACCCTCAGAAGCCCATGGAGCCCCCATGCAGGGGGCTGGCCTGCCACACTGCCCGGCAGGGACACTCCTTGCTGCAGCCAGCCCCAATAGTGCCTTCCTTTCCACCATCCCCACCTGCTGCGTCTCCCCACAAGCGCATCTGTGCAGCAGACCCTCCTGGGGGTGCCTGGAGAGGCGCAGGGTGCGGCACCGGCTCCACCCTCCTTTCTTCCTACATCAGTGTCAGGACTGAGATTTAGGAAGGCAAGAGGCAGCTGGTAACACCAGGCAGCTCCTCATGGGCCTTTCCTGCATCAGCCTCCACCAAGCAACTGGTGGCCATCGCAGTGGCACCGGCCCTAACACAGCACAGGCACGGGGCAAGCAGCCCAGCCTTCCCAGCACTGCTCACCCCATGGCTGTGAGCAGCTTGGTCAAACCCTAGCACGAATTCACTCTGTGAGCCACCTGCAACAGCAACAGCTCCAAAGCCAAGCACAGCATCACCTCCTCCTCGTGGAGACCTTTCTCAGAACGGGCAAATAGCCCACGCTCTCTCCCAGCAATGCTCTGCCATCTGTCACCTCTAACTGCCCCTTGGGTCAGCCCCAGACCCTGTACTGACTAGCAGGGCTGCCCCAGCACGCCATCCCTGAGCACAGGGGTGGCCCCAAGTGGGTGAAATGCCCACGGAGCTCACCCTGCACTCAGCCCCACGGGCTGCCGCTTCCCTTCATCAGAGCACGGCACAAGAACAAATCCAGGGGACACATTTTGAGCCCCCCGACCACCCCCTGGCACACAACGCCATGGCAAATGCAATCACATCCAGAGCCCACACACCCGTGGTCCCAAACCCACCAACCTCGCTGAGAGCTGCTCCCCACCATCATGGGGTGCTCCTCACACGTGCCCACTTTCCTCTCCTGGGCTCCACATGAACAAGACCCCGCGGAGATGCTCAAGGGGAAGAGGCTCCGCATCTCTGCCTGCCGCCTCCCACCCCATCTCAGGCTGTGCCTCGCAGCACACAGCTCAGCACCACACACAGTGCTGACCATTCCCAGCAGCCACAATCACCGGGGTTCTGCTGGACCGGGTTCCCCCCCCCACTCCAAACACGGGATGACGGCACACGCAGACACTGACCGTTCCTCCGGCCGGCCCGGAGCCGCCCAGCAGAGCCCGGCGCTGCGCGCTGCGCACACCTTCGGCAGGAGGAGCCGCAGTCCCGCCAGCTCCGGAGCTCCCGGCCCGCTCACTGCCGTACCCCGAGGAGCAGCGGGCGGTGCCACCAGAGGAGGACCCGCTGTGGGACACCGGCAGCCCGTGCGCGTCGCCCTGCCCGGCACCAGGTGACGGCAGCACCGGGGACTTCCCGACACCAGGATTTTCCATCTGCTCCACCATGGGGGACGGCGTAGACAGTTCCGAAACGGTGCCCGGCTCCGCAGTGGAGGTCCATGCAGCACCGGAGCTCGGCTCCCCGCTGCCCCCTCTCCCCCACATCCCCGGCGTGCCGCTGTCTGCCGGCTCCCAGCTCCGCGCCGGCTGCTCTCCGCACACAGGGCTGGCTGGGGATCCCTCGGTGCGGTGCTTCCAGAGCCCATCGGGGCCGCGTGGCAGCGGCAGCAGCACAGCCCTGGTGCTGCCCGTACCGCCGCGCTGCAGCCGGACCAGGCGGCTCACGGCCCGCTCGCAGCCCTGCTCGGCAGGGTTCTCCAGCAGGCGGGCGATGACGGTCGTGCCCTCCTCAGGGGAATCCCCCGCCGTCTGCGCTCCCCTCGGCTCCAGCACCAGGTGCGCTTTCTGCAGCTCCCCCTGGAACCTCTCCTTCACCTGCACGATGCGCCCGGGGTCCCCCCCTGAGTTCCGGCTCCCGTCGGGCTCCTCGTGCCGCGGTGCCGCCTCCAACTTCGGATCCTCATCCACCCCGGGCACCGCCGCGGCCGGCAGCTCCTGCTGCGGGGCCGCCGCCGGCACCGCTCTCTTCTTCCCCCTCCTCCTCCGTTTGAAGCGAACCCTTTTTTTGGGGGGCAGCGGAGCCGGCCCGGCAGCTTTTTCTTTCGGCTCTTTAACGCAGCCCAGAGAATTCCCCATCTCCTCGGCGCCGAAAGCGCCGGGAACGCCGCCACCACTGCCGCCGCCGCTCTGCTCTCCGGCTCCCAAAGAAATCCCAGTGTCAGCTTCATGGGCTCAGCGCACGTTTCGCACCGCGCAGCGCCGCGGGCGGCCCCCGGCATCCCCGCACGCCCGCCTGCTGCCGCCAGCCATCTTACAGCCCGAGCTGCAGCGAGACACATTCAAAGCATCTCACTGCAGTTCAGAAATCACTTGACCTAAAAGCAGACGGAGAGCGGATTGGCTGCGGCTTTCTCTCTCCAAATATGAGGTAATTGGAGCACTGCCCTCAGCCAACACAAACAGAGAGCAGGAACCAGACGGAGAGCAGCGAAAGGGGAGGGGAGGTTGGGAGGGGTAGGGAGGGAAAGAAAAGCCACAAGAAAATGGGAAGGTTGGGAAAGGTACATAAAGGAAGGGGTGGGAAGGAGATGGGAAAAAAGCAGGGAGGAGTCAGAGCCGCTCTGCACGCACACGGATGGAGATAGGCACGGGGATGCAGAATGCTGCTGGCTCCCACGGGGCGCTCCGGGAAGGCTGCTCTCACCGTGCCCCCCGGCACTGAGATCCCCATAGCCCCAATAGCCCACATCACGTGCACACCGCCGCCCAGAGGGACAGCGCTGGGGCAGCCCCACAGACACAGCAGCCTTTGGAATCAGCAGGGGACGACAGCAGCCCCCGCCCCAGAGAGCGCTGCAGACCCTGCTGGGCTCAGCCCCACGTCCTGCAGCGGGCACTGCTCTGCTGCAAGGAGCACACGACACCCACAGCACAGAGGACCACGTGCCAGCAGCAGGGATGAGACAGCAAATAAGCAGAAGATAAAGATGGAGGGACAAAGCCCAACCACAGCCACCTCCCGAGTCACCCCTCTGTGACAAGGGACCCACGGACACCACCAGCCCCAGAAATGGGGCAGCACCGACCCGGATCACAGCACCCAGCGCTGCCACCATCCCACCCAGCACCGCTCTGCTCGCAGTCGGAGCCGCCGGCTGCAGCACCAGGATACGGGAGATTAAGAGGCTCACAATGGAGCTACAGCCCAGAGAAAATCCCGCTGGCGCAGGGAGGACGTGCGCAGGCTCAGGGCTGCCTGCCTGCAGTGGGGCGAGGGGAGCTTGGGCAGCTCCCAGCACCCCCCGCAGATGGGACCGGGCCTCATCAGGGCTACAGCCCCACTCGACCCCAGGGTCACCACAGCACAGCACTCCACTGGGAGCTCACACCCTATTTGAAACCCCCAAAAAGACCCTCCCTGGTAACACGGCACAGTCACGGCCACACGGCCACTCCGGCACAGGGCATGCAGGTGGCTCCAGACAAGCAGGAGCATCCAGGGGCGTCCTCGCATTGTCCTCATTCCTCACCATTGGCAGGGGTGCTGTCATCCCCTAGAAATGCCATCGGAAAGGGCACCGGGCAGCAGCCATGCCCTGGGAAAACAGCAGCCCTGGCCCCCGTCCACAGCCAGAAATGCCTTCGCCCCGAAAGCCGTCACGTTTTTGGAAGGAACCAACAGCCCCACTGTGCAGCCAAGGCAGCAGCTCCCCAGGGGCTGTACTCAGCCTCTGGAAATGAAAAGCTTCCTTAAGGGGCCTCAAACCAGCACTCGTCTCACATGGAAAATGCCATTGAGGACACGTCAGGGAACCGGGGACGGCCTTTGGGCTGCAGCCACCAGCTCACGGCTGCCACCACCTCCAGGCCTGGCTCTGCTCCTCGGGCACTGCGGGACCCCAAGGCGCCCATCCCTGAACACCAGGTTTGACCCTTCCCAGCTGAGCGCTGTCCTCAACATCCTGGCACATCAATGGGGCCACATGTCACCTCCCTAAGGGTACCAAAGCTATCTCTGCACAACCCGAGGTGATCAAAGACCCAAGAGTCTGTTTTGCATCTGTAGCAGCCAGCTGCTGTAACAGCACCGCTGCCTGGGTCAGACAGCATCGCATCCCATCCCAACCCACTCAGCCCATGTGTGCCATCCTAATGAGCCGCGCTGACAGCGTCCATCCCACCCCCACCACCCACCCCACGCTTGCTCTCCTCCAGAGGATTCATCTGAGCAAACCACTGCCAACCACCGTGGTGCCAAGCCGAGGCCACAGCACACAGCCCATCATCGACAATTTAATTACGTAAATGATGAGACAAGGGAGTCGTTATTCTCCAGCACCAGTCTCCATGGCACTGCCATGCACGTGAACCCCCGCCCGCCCGGCGCTGCGGCATCACCCCGGAACGTGTGTGCATAGCCTGAGACCAGAGTGCTGGGAGCAGCCCACACCCCACAAGGAAGGAAGGGTTCTCTGCCTACCTGGAAGTGGAGGATGATGGTCCATATGAGCCCCAGGGTGAGCTTGGGATTTCCATCTGTAATGTCATCGTTGCGAATGTTCACCAGTTTCACCTGGCAAAGAAGCAAACAGTCAGAACTCCCCACCGCCACGGGACCCAACCCCCGGCACGGCACATCCAGACGGCCAGCCCTGTGCCCCAGGTGCTGGGGCTGCGGCTCCAGGGCTTCCACAGCACTTAACTGCCCTATTGCAGTCTGTGGGAGAAGTGCCCTGTCCCCAGAGCCCCAAGCGCTGATGCATAATTTAACAGCTACAGACCACGGACCACGGTCAAAGGAGGACAGCCGAGCTCTATTAACTCCCCGGTGGGTTCAGAACCAAGCTGTGCTCATTGTCCTCCCCAACAAAGGTGGATAACCAGCAGCCACCAGGTCTGTGCCCTGGCAGGAGCAGCTCAGAGCTGCTTCCTCACGGCTGCTTTGCTCTCAGGGCTCTGCAGCAGCAATGCCAGGAGAGCACTGAGCACCAGGCATGCATCGAGCCGGATCCATGGGGGGGTGCTGCCCCCAGCAAACCCCACCACCAGGCCAGCAGCAAGAAGGAAAGAGCTGCTCTATCTGGGGGGAGAAACTGCCTGCAGCCGCCAGCAAAATGAGGGACTGGTGGAGGAAGGGGGGCTGCTCCCTGGGGCAGGGCATGTGTGCAAATTTATTCCATGCCCTCAAGCAGCAAAGAGAAAAACCTCTGCCCTGGAACAAAGTGGTGCAGTTCAGCAGTGGGTGCGTGGCTGGAGGGACAGGCAGAGCTGGGCAGCACCCAACACAGGGGGCAGCTGCTGCGACCCAGCAACGTCTGCACAACAGCAGCACCACAACTCCTCAGTTTGAAACCATTTATTCGCACCATTACAGATAGTTCTGTGCCTCTGGGATGCGCACCCAGCGTTGCTACAGCCAGGAGAGGGAGCACAAAGCCCCCAGGGCTGCTGCTGCCAGAGCTGAAACCCCACCACAACCCCCAACCCCCCCACCCGTGCAGCCTTACCTGCCGCTGCTTCAGGAAATCCAGCGCTATCTGCACGTTCTGCAGTCTGTGGAATCGCATCCGGCCCTTCTCGCGGGGCTGCAAAAAAGGTGGGGGCTGCAGGGCTGCCTGGTGGGGATGCAGCGCCCGCGCCGCACTGCACTGCACGCCCTGCATGCTGCCTGCAACCCGCCGTGCCCCGTGCACACAAAGCACTCTGTGCTCTTTCCTCATTCTGGAGCTGAATGAAGTCGTGGCCACGTGAAATCCCACTGAAAGAAGGAAAAGCCCCCACGGCACACAGAGCTGGGAAGGTCCCAAGAGATGCTCTGCCGGGGATGTGCTCTGGGCCACTCCGCACCCCAGAAAGTCCCTGCAGTGAGGCTCTAAGCTGCTCCCAGAATCGGGCACGACCAGCTCAGCCCCAGGGGTTTTGTAGCGGGGATCAACTGCTAGTCCCTAACTGACTGCCCGAGGCGAGGTGTGGGCACAGCTCCTCCCATGCAGGAGCCACAGCGCTCTGCCTGAACCCCCAGGAGCAGTGAGGTGCCCCAGCAGAGGAGTGCTGGCCAAGGATGGAGCTGCAGGGGCAGAGCCAGCACTGCAGGAGGAACAGCTCGGGGGGGGGGCTGCACCCACAGCTCTCACAGACACTGTGCAAGGAGCACAGGGCTGGGAAATCAATCTTCTTAGCCAAGGGGGGTGGGAGTCTGTCTGTACACCGCAGGCATGGTTGGGCCCCGTTAGGTTCCACTCTCATCTCATTCACATGCATGGGGCCACCCAGTGCCCGTGCGTGCCATGCAGTGTGGTTAGCAGAGAGCACTCCAGACTGAGCAGGGACCCAGGTGGGGTCCGTGGGAGCGTGCAGAGCCCATTCCAGCCCCGCGTGCAAGCAGACAGCCCAGGCAGCGCTCTGCTCCTCCCCCGCCAGCATCAGGGATGTACGGAACACCCCAGTGGCGAGGAGCAGCTCGGCGCCTGGCAGCACTGCGCTGGGCCGTCTGCTGGCACTGCGGTGCCGACTCTGGGCAGGCTCGACCTACTTCTTCATCATCATCTTCCTCCTCCTCCCGCTCCTCGCTGCTGGCACGGCACCAGGCCGGCGCTTTCACCAGGCGGAGGCTCCTCTGAGCTGGCGGCTCTATTTGCTAATGGGAACCGACGGGGGGACACACACAGGGAGACAGAATGGAAACCAAAATGCAACACCCAGCGAAAGGAAAACCCAACAGAAAGGGACGCCCCGCAGGGTCCTCACTGCCCCTCCTGGACACCGCCGGCCCCAGGGCTCGAGGAGGATGTAAGGGATGGGACACAGAGCAACCCCCTCCTGCAGCTCTGAAGCCAAAAGGAAGAGGAAGGCCGTCTGGGTCCCGGAGCTTCATTTGGCCCCACAGCAGCTCATGGGCTTCTCAGGAAAGTGATGGAGCGAGTTAAAGAACTCTGCCCGGATCCTAATTTAGGGAACGCTGCAGCAGATCCTGCTGCGCTACGCTGTTGCTCCATTACATCTCAGTAGTGTGACAGTCTGCAAAGGAGGAGGAGGACAGAGGGGGTTCTGTGATGCTTGAGATGTGAGAAGAGAGCTCTGCATGCCAGCTCTGGGGCACGGATCAGCTGAGGGGCTGGGCTGAACCGAGCACACGTCACAGGAATAACTCCTGCCAAAGCCACTGCCTTCCAGCAACTTCAATACAAAGCAGAGTCTGGGGAAGGAGGGCAGAAATCCCCCTCAGAGACAGGGCTCTGCGCAGGGCACCCACACTGACGGCCTTGGCGGTATCCGGGAAAGCAGGAGGAGGAGAGCGGGGTTGAAAGAAAAATGAACAAAATGACAACCAAGGAAACTGATGCATGTTTGGAAACAAAAGTATGGCATAAGGAATGGCTGTGAAGGCACTGGAGGAGGGGAAGGCAGGGGGTACAGCACTGCACTCACCAGCTTCACGCCCGACAGCACCTCCAGCAGCGAGACGAGGTTGTGGCCGTCCCTCAGGTCCTCATAGAGGTCATTGATGTGCTTGCGCACCTGGAGGGGAGGAAAGGGGACACTGGGAGTTTGCAAGCAGACCGCCCCCCACTGTGTGCATTTAAAATGGTTATTCCAAGAGGTTATTTCCACTACAGAAAGCAGCCTCCAGCTTCCAAAACAACCCAGCAGACGATGCTGCCTTCCTCAGATGCACCAGCAGGCCCCCATTAACCCACCCCTCCCCCAGGACATCCCATAATGCAGCACACAGAGCTGCAGCAGCAGCTGAGCCAACTGCACTGCCCAACATCTCCTACAACACCACATGGCCACACTGATGAGCAGAGAAGATTCCTCCTGTGTGCACCAGCACAACGCCCCCAAGCCTGCTCCCTCCCCCTAAACCCACCCCCTCACAAGCCCTGCCCTGCTGCATTACCCGGCCCCAGTTTTGTCCCCACAGCCCAAACCAAGTGGGCTCACTTCGCCTCCTCTGAGAGATGTAGCAGGGAGCTGAAAGGCTGACACAGATGTTTGCAGAACTGCTCGTAAAGCACCACTGTGGTGCTCCTAATACCCAAAGCTCTTTTCTTCCTTTTGCAAAAGGAGAATTAATTTAAAAATTACTTGGCAGTTACACAAGACAAGCACCTCGTGGTGCAACATTCATACCAGCACATCTGCACCTACCAGAGGGAGGCCTGGATGACACAAAACATAACCAAGAGCTGTGGGCCAGCAGCACTGTGGTGGCAGTGGGGTGCTGCATATTGGCATGCTGCATGCAATGGTGCAGCATGCAATGGTGTTTGCTGCATATTGGGGTGCTGCATGCTGCACACACCGTGAGCTCCAGCAAGGCCTGGGTACACAGGAGGTGGAAGTTGCCATCAGGGCTGCACTGCGATGTCACAGTGCCCTCCAAAGGCACCAGCACGATTCCAGTGCAACCATTTCTGCTCAGAATATGAACACGTTTTATACCTCAGCACCAATGCAAAAGTTCCCAGATTGTAAAGCAGGCTTTTATCTGCCTGTCCTGAGCTGGAACGGAAAGACAGACAGACAGACACTGAACCTGCCTGGAAACAGAACACGCAGCTCTTACCTTCATCAAGTGTTTATTGACCCATTTAGTGAAGGTTTTCTTTTGGACTCTGTCCCGTTCATCTGTGAAAAGAAAACAAAGGCAGCTCTGGGTCAGTGTTTTTCATGCACAAACTCAAATGAGGGGAAGAGACACAGAGGAGTCGCTGCTGGTGCCAGAGCTGCTGGCCAAATCCTGCTGCTGTATGGGAACAGGGGCTGCTCACCCCGGGGCCGTGGGCCGGGGCTGCGCTGGGAGCCAGAGCCCGGCTGTGCACAGGCACAGAGCAGGGCAGGGGAAGCTTATTGCCAGCTTATTCTTCCATGTATTTTTGGTTCATTGGATTGCTGGGACTTAGGGCTTATTTCCATTGCACAGCTCAGCCCCAGCCGGGCAGGGGACGCACAGCACTGCCCTCAGGGTCCCACAAGGGGTGGGCTGAGGTGCCCCAAGCCCTACATCCAGGCAGCAGGGCTCCTCCTGGGGGGGCTGGGAGCTTTGAGCCAACACCGCCCAGCAGCAGGGAGCTCTGTCCTGTTGTGCTGGGTGACAAAACCACACGAGAAACAAAGCAAAGGAGGAAAAAGGGCTCCGAATGGCGCTGTGCTGCCTGAGGGGCCACCTGGCAGCCCCCCCCCGAAGGGGTGCTCGGCATAATCTCACAGCCAGCCCCGACCAAAGGGGATTGCCCGGTTTAAGGGCGTAATCTCAGAAGAGAGACAGCACCTGGTGTGGTGTGGAGAGGGCTGTGGGACGCCGGCTGAGCGATCCGAGGCACGGCAGCGTGGTTCCCCCACCCAACCCTGGCACTGACACACGCGGCACATCGCAGGACGGCCTCCACGCCTCGCCTGCGCCCACAGCACGGCTCCAGGTGCCCCGAACGCCCCGCACACCGGGCTCAGCCTGGGCGCGATGTCCTACAACACGCAGCTGAGCCTCAGTGCCACCGCCTGGCACCGCTGCCCCCAGAAGGAAACCACACCGAGGGACCGCTCCTCTGCCCACCCCACAGCCACGGTGCCGCACCTTCCTGACCCCTCTGTTAATTTATCCAGGGGGGGTGAGGTTTGCCCCCGCTGCCAGCGCGACGCAGAGCCCACAAGCAGCGCCACGGGGCTGGGAAAGGCACTGACCCATGCAGCACATCCGGCACAGCATGCGCGCGCTCAGCCACCTCTCCTCCATGCACAGATGCTGAGCGTCCATCGCCCACGCTGGGTCCCGTGGGGCGGCCGTTCCCTCTGCTGCGGGGTCGGGTGGGAAAGGGGCTCCGGGCAGCACCTCCAGCCCCAGTGGGTGACGGTGCGGGTGGGTAACGGCTCGGCTACAGCTCCTCCCTCCGCAGCACTTCCTACACCCGCTGTCCCCAGCCTGAGGCCCGGCAGTTCCTCCTCTGGGACATCGCCCAACGCCCCACGCGCACCATCGCCGCCCCACGCTTCCTGCAGTGCTGAGCCCCACAGCGGATGGGCCGCTCCTCCGGGAACCGCAGCGCTGTGCCTCCGATGTCCCCAGGTCCCTGCAGACACCTCTGCAGACTTCAGCTCACTGCAGCTTTCCGCAACGAGGCAGCGGGGCAGACGGGGCTGTTCCTCACCCAGGAAGCGAGCAGAAGTGGCTGCAGCGCCCGGCAGCACCACGCAGCCCTGGAGCTGGGCACAGCCCGGCAGGCACTGCGCTCGTTTCTCCCCCTCTTGTTTTCCAGTTAATTGCACCGGCCGTGCGGACGGGGCCAGGACGGACAATGCCAGGACGGACAATGCCGGGCTTCTTTCCCTGCTCGCGCCTCCCCGCCAGCGCTCTTCTCCTCACCAGCGACGTCCCGGGTCTGAAGTGCTGGCGCTGGGTTCCGGCTGTGGGCTGCCGTCCTGCCCGGCATGCGGGGAGATAACGGGTGCCTCCTTTATCACCTCCTCTCTTCCTTTTCTTCTAAATATAATCCCGCTGCAGACCTTCAGGTCCCAGCCCCGGGGAAAGGCAGCAGTGTCCCTGCGCATGGCAAGGGCACGTGGGGAAGGGACACATCACCGAGTGCTGCGCAGTGAGGTTGGGGAGGGCCGGGGGCTCCCAGGTGCTCTTCCTGCGCCCATCTCGCACAGAAGCCGTGTTTTGCCCTTTTTGGCCCCGTTTCACCACCCCCAGAGGGCTGTGACTCTAACTGGGCTGCGCACACCCCATCGTCCCAGCTAATTATAATGCCCGGCTGCTGCTGGCTAACAATATTAAGGCCTCGCAAGCTTATCCCCGCTGGATAATCTTTCCCAGACTCACCCCCATGCAACCTGTTGCAGCCCCCCCCGCGCTCCCCGGTCTGTCCCTGCCCACCACTGACCCCCCGTCCCCATGGCTGCCGATGGCCGTGGCACAGCAGTGACAGCAGGGCTGCAATCGGTGACCTTGGACCATCACTCCCCGTGCAGCGAGCAGCATTGGCTGCCAGCAGAGATCCTGCTGCCATCGGGCGCCCGAAATCCTTCATCACGCGCCTGTGCCAACACCGGCCGGTGCTTCTCAGCACATTGGATGCTTCAGAGCTGCACAGACGTGCCGCGCTTCTGTGTTGCTGCGTTCCCAAAGCAGGTGAGGCTGTGAGAAGACCCAAACCCAGCGAGTCTGGGCACAGCCCCAGCACCACTGCAGAGCTGCACTCCGGGAATGGAAGAACCGCCCTGCCCCACATCTGCCCCACATCTGCCCCACATCTGCTCTCTGGTGCCCAGAAACAGAGGCATCAGATATAATGGGGTGAAGCGATACAATGGGGTGAAAAGCGTGTCCAGCAGCACAAGCTGTCCCAGCACACACAGGTGAGGGGCAGTGGGGTCCCACGTGGGCTCCCTGCAGCTCTGCTCCAGCAGCAGCTCAGCCCTGTGCTGTGGCACAGAGCACAGCTTGCAGGGACGTCTCTGAGCCGCGCACGCCATGAAAGCCGCTCTGTGCACTGCAGCACCCGGCCGGACGGGGTGAAGGAGGGTTTTGTTCCACAGACACATTTGGAAACAAACTTGAAACTGTGAAGCAACTCACTTGCACTTCAAACTCCTTCAAAACATGAAAATAAAGGGGATGCGTTTTTTTAAACGTGGTTCTTCCAAGATGGGGAACACGCAGCAAACTGCCCGGAATGCGACGGATCCGAAACGTGCTGGCTGCCAATGTGAGCGCTGACATAATCCGTCACGACAGCCGAGTTAATCGCACAGCAGCGTTGTGAAACGGGGAGAGGAGACGGCTGTGACTCAGCCCGAGAGGAACGCAGCACAGAGACCTGCAGTGCAGAACTGTCCCACAAACGATGGCACGGGACACGGGGACAGCCGGGAGCGGGGATGCAGCACAGCCGGGTTGGGCACAAAGTGGGTGCAGGATGAGCTCCGAGCTCGGGAGTGCTGGGTTGGAAGGGATCTTAAAGCCCACTGGGCCACAAGCCCTGCCGCAGGTCGGGCTGGCAACAAGATTTATATCTGCCATGGAGGTCTGGGGGACAGGAAGCGCCTGCCACAAGTGTAAGGGGGGAAAGGAGAGCAGAAGGAGGGGAGGCCCTCGTGTTTTCTCATGGCCCCGGGGAGGGCTGGAGCCGCAGAAACCAGGAGGGGTGCGGGCAGGAGGCGGCCGGGACAGCGAGGGCACCGCTCAGCCCTCGTGAGCCCTGCGAGGAGCCGCGCCGGGAGCGCAGCAGTCCCTATTTTGGGAAACTGAGGCCGGGTGAGCGAGCAGCGAGCTGCTCTGCGGCACCGCGCGCCCGCCTGACGTCAGCAGAACGCAACCACGTGCGGGGTTCGCACCGACACAAAAAGCGGCGCCGGACCCCCCGCCCCGATGCCCCCCGGGGGCACCGCGCAGCCCCCGCGGCCCCACCGCTCCTCCGGGCCCCGCCGCCCCTACCTGCCCCGCTGCGGCTCCGCCAGTACAGCACGCCGGCGATGCCCAGGACGTGGCTCAGCACGAAGGCGGCGGGCGGCAGATAGGAGCCCTCCGGCAGCGGCATCGCGCATTACAGCCCGCCCGGCGCTGCCCGCGCGGCTCCCGCCTTCCTTCCGCCTTCCTTCCGCCCCAGCACGAGCCCGGCATCGCCGGCTCTGCGGGCCGACGGAGGCAGAGCTGCAGGACGTCCTCCCGGGAACTGCACGGCACGGCACGGCGGCACGGGGCGGTGCGGAGCTCAGAACGGGGCCAGAGTCGAAGCGGAGCTCCGGGCCGACGCCAACATCTTCCCCGCGCGGTCAAACTTTGGCCCCCCCTCCTCCTTCCATGGGAGAAACGTCATCTCCCGGATTTCCATTCCCGGCCCCGCCGGACGGCCGCGGCCCGGGAGCAGCAGCTGTGAGCGCGGGGCGGGGGGTGCGGGGCTGCGCGGGGCTGCGCGGGCTGGGCGCGGAGCTGAGCGGCAGCTCGGGGCACCCGGCCGCAGGAAATCCCCCAGCGTCGGGGGACGGCGAGCCGAGCGGGGCTGAGGCTTTGTGCGTTCCTCCTCCGCCTTACAGGAAGAGCAACAAAAGCTGCGTGGCGTCTCCCTGCGCTCCCGGAGCCATTGCTCGATGCAGACGCAGCAGGGCAACAGGCGTGGAAGCGTGCATACAGCACGGCAACGCTTTCTTTTCCTGAAGCCCACGGGCTGTAGGAACGCGGGGCTTGAAGGAGGGCCACACTCACAGCAGACACCCTCACAAAGTTTCCCTTTGCACCTCCTAATGCTGAAGCCCAAGCAGGTGATGATGCCCTGTTATCCTCGCAGCTGCCGCTGGGGCACCGGGTGGGTGATGCTGCACAGTCAATGAGCGGCCCCACCCGGCACATCTCAGCCCCACAGCGCACAGCCGTTGTGCTGTGGTTTTGCTTCTCACTGGGGATGCAGAGCCCCAAATCCTGAGGTGAGTCAGAGCCGTCAGCCCAGCCCTGCTGTGACCCCAGCACACGGGTGTGAGCTGTGCCCCAACGCTCCGCAGCCCCCAGCAACCAACCCCTCCCCAGCACTTTGCTCTGTGGGCACACGGAAAGTTGTTCTGAATTCGAAGCGGGGTTTGCCCTTGTGGCGGCTTCCAAGAAGTGCTGAGATGAGAGCGGAAGCCCCGCACCCCAC